ACATCTTCTCCTCTGAAACTACTGAACCAATTCCAACCAAACTTAAGCTAAATGATCCTTAGGGTATCTAGAATAAAGTTTGTGTTTTATTTTCTGTTTTGTCAAAAAACATGGCCGCCATGGCTAAGAATAGAACATAGGGGTAAAATGCAGTTTTTGGCTTATATCTCAAAAACTAAAGCATTTAGAGCAAAGTTGAAACATGTTTATCAGGTCAAGTTTTTATCAGCCCTGAAATTTTCAGATGAATCTAACAATCCATTGTTGGGTTGCTGCCACTAAATTGGTAATTTTAAGGAAATTTTGCAGTTTTTGGTTATCTTGAATATTATTATAGATAAAGATAAACTGTAAACGGCAAAAATGTTCAGCAAAGTAAGATCTACAAATAAGTTTCACGACCAAAATTGTCAAATTGACCCCTTAGGGAGTTATTGCCCTATAAAGACAATTTTACACAATTTGTTTATCATGTTTTCTAACTTTAAAAAATCTTCTCCTTTGAAACCGCTGAATCAATTTCAGCCAAACTTGGGCTGAATGAGTTTCAGAGTATCTAGTATAAATGATGTTTTTTATTTCCTTGTACGTCGAGAAACATAGCCACTATGGCTAAAATGGAACATAGGGGTAAAATGCATTTTTTTGCTTTTGAAGAAAATATGACAGATACAAAGAACATTTAAATGGCATTTTTAAGCCACTCATTAATATATATTGAAAAGCAAAAATAATCAGTGATGAAAGATTTAAGCAAAAAATTACAGGTGAGCGATTCAGGCTCTTGAGAGCCTCTTGTTATTCAAAATGTAGTTTCCATGCATTTTTTATTATACGACCGTAAAAAAATTTTGCGGTCATATATTGGTATGACGTTGGCGTCGTCGTTGTCCGAAGACACATTGGTTTTCGCACTCTAACTTTAGTTTAAGTGAATGGATCTCTATGAAATTTTACCATAAGGTTCAATACCACAAAAGAAAGGTTGGGATTGATTTTGGGGGTTATGGTACCAACATTAAAGGAATTAAGGGCCAAAAAGGGGCCAAAAATAAGCATTTTTGTAATTTCCAGACATAACTTGTGTGTTAGTGTATGGATATCTCTGACATTGTACCACAAGGTTCCATATCACAAAGGGAATGCTGGGATTGATTTTACGGGTAATTGCCTCAAAATTTTAGGAATTAGGGGCCAAAAAAGGGGCAAAAAACAAGCATTTTTCTAGTTTCATGACAATAACTTGTGTGAAGTGTATGGATCTTTCTGAAATTGTACTACAAGGTTCCATATCACAAAGGGAAAGCTGGGCTTGAGTTTGGGGGTAATTGCCCTAAATGTTTAGGAATAAGGGGCCAAAAAAGGGGCAAAAAACAAGCATTTTTCTAGTTTCATGACAATTACTTGTGTGAAGTGTATGGATCTTTCTGAAATTGTACTACAAGGTTCCATATCACAAAGGAAAAGCTGGAATTGAGTTTGGGGGTAATTGCCCAAAACGTTTAGGAATAAGGGGCCAAAAAGGGGCCAAAATAAGCGTTTTTCTAATTTCCAGACAATGACTTGTGTTCAAGTGTATGGATCTCTCTGAAATTGTACTGCAAGGTACCATACCGCAAAGGGAAGGCTGGGATTGATTTTTGGGGTAATTGCCTCAAAATTTTAGGAATTAGGGGCCAAAAAGGGGCAAAAAACAAGCATTTTTCTAGTTTCAGGACAATAACTTGTGTGTAAGTGTATGGATCTTTATGAAATTGTACTTCAAGGTTCCATATCAGAAAGGGAAAGCTTGGTTTGAGTTTGGGGGTAATTGCCCTAAACACATAGGAATTTGGGGCCAAAAAGGGGCCAAAAAACAAGCATTTTTCTAGTTTCCAGACAATAACTTGTGTTCAAGTGTATGGATCTCTCTGAAAATGTACTGCAAGGTACCATACCACAACGGGAAGGCTGGGATTGAGTTTGAGGGTGATGAATCATAAGGGGGTTCAAACAATTTGGGCGGGGGGATTTCTTTTTTCCTTTTTTTTTTCTTTAAAATTTTCCATTTTAAATTGGTTATTTCTGATTTATATATAAAAGAAAATAATAATGATATGGTTTGAATAGGTGAATTAAAAATTTTTAAGTTCTTAGACCACATTCATTCAGTGTCAGAAACCTATGCTGTGTCAAATATTTAATCACAATTCAAATTCAGTGCTGTATCAAGCTTGAATGTTGTGTCCATACTTGCCCCAACTGTTCAGGGTTCGACCTCTGCGGTCGTATCAAGCTGCGCCCAGCGGAGCATTTTATTAATATATATTTTTGTTGTGTCTAGTTATTTGGTGTTGATACTTTCATTAAGATATAATTTTCTATTACTCGAAAAAACAAAATGCAATCGGTGAACTTTACTAACCTATCTGCCCCCTGAAGGCTTTTTCTGGATTTATCTTAATCAGGAACAATCAAACCCAAAAAAAATTTGAAACCAAAGGATCGATAGAAGAATATTTTCAAATAAAGGGCCAGAAGGGCATAAACATTTGGATGATGATGTTCCTTTGGCACCGTCTTACAGTCATTATGTATCCCAACTTGTTCGCTATGCTTGTGTCTGAAGTGACGTTTTTGATTTCAATGAGCGTTTTCTATGTATTACTAGTAAATTTATTAAGTCAAGGATTTCGTTACCACAAATTACTTAAAACCTTTACTAAATTCTTCCATAGATACAAAGATTTGGTCTGCAAATTTGACTGTACCTGTAGAAAACAGTGGGGGTATACTGTTTTACCTCTGTCTGTCTGTCAGTCCATCCATCTGTCAGTCCATCGGTCCCATGAATATTTTTCGTCGCATCTTTCTCAGGAACTACATCATAAGGATTTCTGAAATTTGGTTTCAGGGTTGAAGTCAGCTATACGGTGTGATGCGTTTTCAGATTCATCACTCAACAACTTCCTGTTTACCTAACACTTGTATCATATTTTACACATGATAGCCAAGTTGAAAATTTTCGTCACATTTTTCTGTCAGGAACTACAATACAAGGATTTATGAAATTTGGTTTCAGGGTTTATATAAGTCAGCTATACCATGTGATACGTTTTCAGATTCATCACTAAACAACTTCCTGTTTTCCAAAATATTAGGGCGGGGGTATCATCAGTGAGCAGTAGCTCGCAGTTTCACTTGTTTCAAATGGAATAGCACATCCTAAATTTTATGGTGGTGATGTAAACTGAGGAAATTTAGATACGATCCTTTAAATGAACTTGTTCTAAAAGGTTACCTATTCAACACTGTAATTAAATCTTTGAATATTGTTTTTATTGGTATAAATATTGATTTTGTTATCAGTAAATTAAAACCATACAGGTACTAAATATTACACATATGGGTAAAGCCATAAAGGTGGTCTGGAAAGTGTGACATTAGGATATAAAATTGAAGTTTTTGATATCTCTATCAATTCACATTATTTTGTTAGCAACCATCTGTATCTTACTACCTCTTTTTATTTGAAATCCATGGTCTTGCTATGTTTTTGTAAAATTGACCTTCCTTGTATATTTTGTGTAAGTTATATTGACAATAGTGCAATCTTTTGTTTTAAATAGTTTCTTATGGGATTAATGAAATGTATCAATACTTAGCTGCACATAATATCTTTCAACATCACTATATCATAGACCAATTCACAGAGATATCCCTGATGTTCTGAAATGTCAGTGCTCTGAGCAAGATCAGTATGTTATAGATGTCCAAAATAAAGTTTTCTTCTAGTAACTTGTGTAAAACGTTTTTTGAACAGTAATTATATTTGTAAACATAATTATTATATTTCAAATGAAATATTTTATGTAGTTGTTGTAAACCCAGATCTTCGTTGACATAATTAAATCCAAATTCAATGTATGTTATTTTGACAATAACCCTTTTTGATAGTTTTTCTGCCTTAATTTTAAAACAGGCCACTCAAAAAACAGGGGGGCAACACTAGCTGATTTTTTGAGTAGGGGAAAACTTATCCAATACAGCTTAATCTTCTAAATGAAGAAGATTACTATAAATCTTGTATACCATATCTTACATGTAGGTTATATTGACGAATAGTGTTTAAATTTAACCTTTTTCGAAATCATTTGTATTAAAGATTTTTTTTCTACTATTGTCTAGGTAACTGATGGTTATTTTTCATTTTACCAAATTATGATTGAATGCTTATATTGCTCACAACACTACCGTCTTTTGGTTGTTATATTGACACAATGTCAAGTAACTTACTGAAATAAAACAGGAAATCTGGTGTAACATCTGAACACAAAGAGTTTGATCCATTATGTTTATTTTGATATAAACTTAATTCTTGAATGCATGCAGGGGTTCATGTTCATTATTGTTCAGCTAATAATGAAGTCACAAGCTCATAACCAAAACTATCTGCAGAGATCTATCAGATCAAAGTGACAACTATAGAATGCAAGAAAAATAAAGGTGCACTAATTCACAAATCCAAAAGGGAGAGGAGAAATCAAGATAAATAACAAGAAAAGAACAAACCTTAAATAACAACTCAAACCCAATAAATAAGCTTTATTTTAGAGTCGGCAAGGTATACAAACAGAGACAACATAAGCTCTAATGAGCTTTTAACCGACATACTTTTAACCCAATAAAACTATCCGGTGCACTGCAAGAGTTAGCTTAGCCTGATGGTAAACAGACACTTAATGAGTTACTCACAGTATTTAGGGGAACATATTGTTTACTGTTGGTATTTAGGAGTATTGTTAATTAGGCTCACTTGAACTGACTTTGTACTTTGGTCAAAGGTTGCTCATTTAATATGTACAGTTATGATACTCTTGGCTATGTCAGATGGTGACTTTATTGATCAACTGTTTTCAACAATTTTTTTTCAAGAGCTTATTAAATCAACACTTTTGAAAGTAAAGTATAAAACACATTAACATGATTAATGTATGACAATACTAATAATTAAACCACTATTCAAGAATCAAACCATAAATCATTTATTTAAACAAATTAAAAACATTTTAAAGTTCATTCTGCTGTCTATTCCACTGTTCATACTCAGTTGATTTATCTCAAAGATCTGAAAAGCAAATAAATAAAGTTAAAATAGTTTTATACATGATTTTAAATTGAAATGAATGAAAATGTGAGTCAAGGCTCCATGTTGAAGGCCATAACGTGACCTTATAGGCTATTATTGTTTTTTTTTTACTTCTTTAGGTCTTAGGTGGAGAGTTGTTTCTTTGGCAATAATACCACATCTTCTTATGTTTATGATGTTGTATGTTATCCATGTTGAAAACAGCATTGGAAATAAGTACCACTTCACATTGATTTGCATTGTGTCTACATTCATGTTTTTATTGTCAAATTCAAGGGTATGGGGAGGTTGAGTGCTTAAAAACAAACTTGTTGCACCGTCTCAAGACAGAAACTTGCATGTTATAGTCTTGTGACAATTTTCTGTTTTCTTGTTTATTGTTGATGTTCTTTTGATAAAAGGCTGTATTAAAATCTATAAAATTAATGTGTCAACTAACTCTCTTTTGGACCATGGTTATATTGACTTGAATCCTTTAGTTGTCAACTTATGCTCTATTTCAAAGAAGCAGGAAATATGCTTACAATTTCATTAAAAGGCTTAATTTTTTTATTGTACAAGAGATTTGTAGGCTAAATGCCAAAGTCAACATATTTCAGTAGTAATAGTAGCTTTAGGACTACTGAGGGAGTAAGAGTTATATTGACCCTTACATTAAGGTGTCAACTAACTCTCTTAATGACCCTGGTTATATTGACTATGCATATAATTGTCAACTAACACCCTGTGAAAAAGCACTGAAAATTACTTCACCCTTTTTAAATGTATATTAACTTTCCCCCTTTATTATCTGTAAGTTGAAATAGAAGTTAAATGAAAAGAATGGTGCAGTATATCTCTACAAAGATCATCTACATCCTAGGTGTTATATTGACTGGGTTGACAAAATTGGTCAAGTAACGGTCATATCGATGTTACCGTAAAAAGTGAACGAATGGTTTGACTTGGGTGCTTGAATTCGTTATATTCGTTAGTTCTTATCATTCTAAGCATATTATTTTGGCAAAAATTATATAAAACAGTGTCAATTTGACAGAATGTTTTGGTCGTTATACTTTGTTTGACGCCCTGGTCGTTATTAGTTTGACATTTTGCTAAAAACTTACCATCGAGTTCTTCTTCCATTTTCATCCATGAACGATAGTGATGCTTACATTTAGTTTCGTATATATAGCAATTTTGAAATGAAACAAAGTATTTTTTTCTCCCTGGATAAACTCTTTCCGTTAATAATAAGGAATAAACATTTACGTACGTTATACGTTATTTTGACATTACAAACTTGCCATTCTATGCTTCTCATAAAACGGAATACGAAACCAAAATTAGAACTATTTGGAACAGCCGAGATACGACGGCGCATGAATATGACAGGAACCAATCAAATGTTCCGCAGATGACGATATCGCGGAAAACCCCGTGCGTTATTTTTACCATAGTAGTCTATTGTCAATATAACATTACTAACCCTGTCGAAATAATCGTTTCTTTGATTAATTTTACTGCATTTCACGCAAAACTTTGACGGATTTATAGTGCAACAACACTTTTCTGACGATTTAACTTACTTTCCGTTTTTCTTTTGCCCATAAAAACAACCAGGTATATTTTTTGTTAGAAGGGGGTTTCCATGTCACGCTTGGGACACAGGAACGTACAGATCTACGTTTGACAAACTTCAATAACAAGACACATTGAATTAGCGGATATTTGATATTAATCAAATCTTCTACTTCATCGTGTCACTGATGCTCAATAACAAGTTGTAATCAAATAACATATATTGAATATTTTAAAATTGGGATTTAAGCTTCAGATGGTTATTTGACCAATTTGGAGCACCTTTTTGGCTTTACCCATATGTACTTTCACGGTACTACAATCTGTTGATACCTATAGTTTGGCATTGCACAAGGTCATGTTTTTCTCTGACTGTTAATGACGTCTTTACACTAAATCCATTGGATGTTGGATGTGTACTGATTGATATTTTAATCTGAGATACATGATTTTTTTTATTAGTTGTTGAACTAGCTGTCAGTAACTGCGAGTACTCTCAGATCTGTATGTAGTGTCTTTTTGTTGTGGGGATGTATAAGTACCCGTCCACGTCCACTCTGTGTTTTTGTTAGATGTATTTCTATTTGTATCCATCTGATGAGTTAAGCCTTTTTCAACTGATCTTTATGGTTTGTTCTTATGTTGTACTTTTACACCACTATCCCAGGTTAAGGGGAGGGTTGAGCACTCAGAAACATGTTTTACCCCGCCACATTCTTTATGTGCCTGTCCCAAACCTGTAGTTCAGCGGTTGTCGTTGGTTCATGTCTGTCATATTTGTTTTTCGTAAATTGTTTTGTTATAAATTAGGTCGTTACTTTTCTCAATTGAATTGTTTCATATTTTTCATGTCGGGCCTTTTATAGCTGACCTTACGGTATGGGTTTTTCTCATTGTTGAAGGCCATATGGTTGCCTATAATTGCTTACATCCACTTCATTTGAACTTTGGTGGATAGTTGTCTCATTGGCAATCATACCACATCTCCTTATTTTTATATAAACATTTGACTTTACAAGAGCACCAATAATTCAAGATTTAAACAAAAAACATTCAATAAAGTACTTGAATATGTGATTTATATGACTAATAGAGACCAAAAAAAGAATAGCCAAATCTTTTAGAAGCCAAGGTAGTCTAAGATTGATTTGATGTCTGACAGCATTTTTGTACTAAGGACTTCCTGGGACTGTGGAAGTCCTTAAAAGGCTGTCAAATGTCAGAGCAATCTCAGACTAGTCCTAGGAGGACATTTTCAGTTTGAACTACGTAGGACAACCAAAAAAACCCAAACCCTAAACATGTTTGCTAAAGATGAGAATTTATATCAAATATTTTTGTCTATCTGTTGATTCTTCCCTGTATATTAATTTTTAAATGTTTAACAAAGTCTTTAAAAACACGACATAATGTTTTTTTTGCATTTGACTATTTTGATTAGGGAGCTACCATTTGATTTTTAGGGGGGGCTAGGATGAAAAATTTTGTCCTGCATTTTTTTTTAATTGTAATCTCTGTCCTGCCTTTTTTTTTTATTAGTTTATCCTGACCTTTTTTTACATAAATTGTCATCCTGCCTTTTTTTTTTACTCAAAACTATCCTGCCTTTTTTTTCAAATTTCATCCTAGCCACACCCCCCCCCCCTAAAAATCAAATAGTAGCTCCCTTACTACAATGAAATAGAAAAGGTATAGAAATTTCTAATTTTTTATCCGTTTTTGAAACTCATTATTAAATTCCTTTCCAATTAAGCCCGGTTTAAGCCATTGAAAAAATGATCCAACACAATAAATAAAAAAAACCTGAATATTGATTTAGCATATGCCAACAATAAGATGTTTTACAAAGTCTTTAAAAACAAGACATAACGTTTTTTTTGCATTTGACCAGGGTCAGGGCAAAAAATATAAAATAACCAGAATAACCGAGTTTACTTATCTTAAATTGCATAATTCATATATTACTTCTTAAAAGGAGCATTGGATACAGATTTGCATGCTCACAGCGCATTTGTCTTGAATAAAAAGCTTAAGTTTGATCAGGTGTACTTGAGGCCAAAAGTTTGGAATGCCAAAATATAAATTTTGAAGAGAGTATATTTCAAGGATCTAATTATATAACTATTAAAGATCTGCTAAACCTGTCCTCTGAGTTAGTCAACTTTGCCTGAGATAACTTTATAATGATCACATTGTCTATAAATGTTAAATTTCCAAACAAAGTATATCATGTTAATCATACCAGCATGCACTCCCTTCTGGATAGATAGTATGATTAGGCTAGCAACTGTACTGATCTTGTGACAGAGAAAAAAAAACTTGTAGCTGGTCTACCGTGAATAATCTCCTTCATTAAGTACAATAACACCAAAAGATTGGAAAGCCAAACATAACTAATATTGGAGAGCATAAAAAACGTAACTTGATGCATTCAGGATACTTACAGTTATTAGCACATACTTACAACTTCTCGTCCAATCAAATTGCTTATATTTGCCTTCTAATTTTCATAGTACATACTTTTCCTGTGTACTAAGTAACTACGCGTGAATGACCACAAGGGTAAAATTTCATTGTATCGTAATCAAGATATTTAAAACAAAAATTGCCACTGGCTATTTTGAAATAAAATGCTGTGTTCCAAATTAAATTAAATGGTTTGTAATTAGTTTTCACGTTGATTTTTAAATATCCTGCTATTAAAATCTTTGGATCTAAAAAAATGTTTTTGACAATTGCAAATTTTATCATTTAAATAAAGGGTAAAACATATGGTTCTTTATACCTTGATTAGAGTACAACGATATCTTAAAATTATGATGATGTATCATCCATGCAATTACTTTGTACACAGAAAAGTGTGTACTATGAAACCTTGTGAAGGAAAATTAAAGCAACTTGCTGATAATTTTTTAAACTTTCTTAAGAAAGGTGATTTATATCGTCATGAATTGATTTATTGATTATTGGTTGCTTAATGTCCAGTGGCAAATATTTCATGCATGTTCAGGACGATGTCATGAATTGAAAAACTGTAATTATGTCTGAAGATAATGTGCCACCTATATATATATATATATATATATAAACATATTCTGATAAATCTTAAAGTGTTTACTTTGAAATAATAATAAAAAACACAAAACACAAAACCTATAATCTCTGATCTATTGGTAGTTGGTTTTTAATGCCTATCTGCTAGACTATATCTATGGGGACAAACTATCTATATGTTTCAAATTTTTTATAGCTTTAGTTTTACTGTGAAATTAAAAAATGTTTTCAAAACATGTAAAGCTTCCACTGCTATTTAATTATTGCCTGCTTTTGGTCAATTTATTTTGTCATCTTACCATGTAAGAAGAACATGTATAGTAAAACACCGTTTTATATCAGTATACATACATACACCAGCAGCTACCATCTTTTCATTCTGGAGTGAAGGGCCTTTTGAAATCACATATTTTACAATGATACTAGTGAATAGATTTACAAAACTTCGTTAATGAGCTCCGTTTTACAAACACCTGTGATACAAGTAGTCAGCCAAAATAAACTATCAATAGACCAATTACAAGATTACTCGAGTTGTAAATATGTGCTAAATTGGATAGTCTATGAAAAGGTATATACTATGAAATTAAGAGCTCGGGGCAAGCCCCTCGCTCTAAATTTCATAGTATATACCTTTCCATAGACTAACCTAGACTTGAAACACCTAATTTTGTCCTCAAGCATTCTTTTTAGTGGCCGTCCCTGGTAAAATTGTAATCTCTTAATGATATGTGAATCACATTTAATAGGTGTTCTAGTTAATCCCACCATGATATATTCTACAGCAACTCTTCATATAAATTATTTCTTTCAGAAAAAAAATTTCCCCAAGGCATTCAAAAATAATGAATACAAAAAGAATAAAGGATAATAGTAAATCCAGAAACTTCTGATGCATGAAATTTAAAAAGTGTTATTTTCATGAACTGTTTTGGGTAGATATCCCTTTACTGGAGGACTGTTAGTTCACAAGATAAGCTCAGTAATCAGTGCTCACATGATTTATAACATTATTACATATATTTCTAAAATTTCCTATCAATAAATTAAGAAATTACTTAGAAATTAAGGTTCCAACTCCCACATACAAAGTTGACCTTAGCTTAATTTGGCTATTCTTTAAGGTTCCTTTTAGACATGTAGCTCCTAACGTTTCAATGTATTTAAACATCCATGGCCTTAACATGTTTAAGTGTTCTTGATAGAGGTAAATCCAAAAAATAGCTTTGGACATGCAGAATTTATAAAGTGGTTTTTCCATGTACTGTACTGTAATTCTCCTTTGCTAAGTTATATTATGAACTTTGCAAAAATGATCTGAAAGCCTACTTTAAATTGCATATTTTATATACATGTAATACAATAAAGCCAGTACTTAAACACATTTAAAATGGCTGTAAAATATATGTAGAATATTTAAATGATTTACACCTACATGACCTAGAATGTAGATTCAGAAACTGAAATTAACCTTTTGAAAAAATGTGTTTTATTTTTTGTTAAATTTATTTTTGATAGCTCATAAACATAAAAATAAAAATCTACCAAATTTGGTGTTATTTAAGTTTAGCAAGAATTCTGGCATATTATGTTAGTTTTTAAACTTTTAAAACTTTGGTTTTATTAAAGAAAATATAGAATGTATTTTCCCTTGAGGTACATGTGTGTGCCTTATTGTTCAAAGTCCTTTCAATTATCCCCCTAAGGAGACAGCAACCCAATGAAAAAAATAACGATGAGCTTTTTTAAAAGGCTTTGCCCTTTCACAATAACAATAAGCCAAAATTATTATTCAAGTTAACAGTTTGAATTTTTATCTTCATATTGGTGAAAAATTGTATCCCTTGCTATTGAAAGGTTGTTAGTATGAAGCAAGGGCAGTACATGTACATGTATAATAAAACATGGGTACAATTTTAGTATTTAAGATTCAATCAGGAAATGTGCAAACTCTTAGTTGAATTTGAATTCTATCAAGTTGACTGGACTCTGAAAGTGTTTATAAGTAGCTACAATATAAAAATAAGAAGATGTGGTATGATTGCCAATGAGCCAACTCTTCACAAGAGACCAAATGACACAGAAATTAACAACTATAGGTCACGTATGGCCTTCAACAATGAGTAAAACCCATACAACATAGTCAGCTATAAAAGGCCACGAAATGACAAATGTAAAACAATTCAAACGCGAAAACTGTTACAGTCTGATTTATGTACTGAAAACAAATAAGATATACAGTAACAAACGACTAGTTTGCTTGTGATTGCTTAGAACAATATTATGTACAAATACAAAGTAGTCAATTACATAATTTTGTACATTGAGAAAAAGAAATTAAACACAGTGCTGGAAATGGAATATTTTAAATGAGACAAAAAAACAAGTATAAAATTTAATTTTATTTTCTGAGGTGTTATTTTCTGAATTCTTTAAAAATAGATATAAATTTGTATAGATTAAGCTTATAGAGTAGGGAAAAACTGTCTTAGAATTGCCTTAAAATCCTCAAATCTTCCAAATTAATAATTATTATATAGATTTTGCTTCAAAATTGATAAATTGTTGCTACATAAATTTCTATTTTATTGATATAAAATAATCACAGTTATGGACCTACTTGTACTCAGTTTTTATACGCCCGTTTACGGGACGTATTATGGTATACCATTGTCCGTCTGTCCGTCCATCCGTCTGTCCGTCTGTCCGTCCGTCGTCAACATGTCGGACATTAACTCAAAAACGCTTTAACCAATTTGCATAAAACTTTGGTGAATTGTTTCTATCTATTGACGTGAGCTCCCTTTTGTTTTTTTATAAATTTTAGAATTCACGTTTCCGAGTTATGGGGCTTTATTCATTAAAAAAAGTGGGATTTTCCAGTTTTCGGACAATAACTCAAGAATGCTTTCACCAACTTGCAAGAAATTGTGGTGAATTGTTTATATCTATTGACATGAGCTCCCTTTTGATTTTAATATATTTAAGATTTTACGTTTCCAAGTTACAGGGTTTTTTTCATAAAAAAGGGGGATTTTCCAGTTTTTGGACAAAAAATCAAAAATGCTTTCAGCAGTTCTTTTTAAACTTTGGTGAATTGTTTATATCTATTGATGTAAGCTCCGTTTAGAATTTTATAAATTTTACATTTTACATTTCTGAGTTATGGGGTTTTATTCATTAAAAAAGGGGGGATTTTCCAGTTTTCGGACAATAACTCAAAAATGCTGTCAGCAATTCTCATGAAACTTTGGTGAATTGTTTATATCTATTGATGTAAGCTCCCTTTATATTTTCATAAATTTCTAATATGACATTGAGAATTAATTGAACTTTAATTGTTTATAGTCTGACAACAGATTTACTAAGTATTGCGCAACAACACAGTGTATTGCACAACAGCAAGAAATCTTTAATTGAATATAAATTCAATTCATATAACCAATTTCAAGTTCTTTGACTACATTTATTCAGAAACCTATAATATGTCAAATATTTAATACAATCCAAATTCAGACCTGTATCAAGCTTGAATATTGTGTCCATTTTTGCCCCAACTGTTCAGGGTTGGACCTCTGCGGGCGTATCCAGCTGCGCTCAGCGAAGCAGTTTATTGATATATTAACAGATCTTTTACAATATTGGTAGTTAAACACGCCCAAAAACAACATTTTCTGGAAATAGCTGTTTTTATAGGCCTGTTTACGGGACGTATTATGGTATACCGTTGTCCATCCGTCCGTCCATCTGTCTTGTCTTGTCTGTCTGTCCAACCATCCGTCGTCAACATGTCGGACAATAACTCAAAAATGCTTTAACCAATTTGCATGAAACTTTGGTGAATTGTTAATATCTATTGACGTGAGCTCCCTTTCGTTTTTTATAAATTTTAAATTTTACGTTTCCAAGTTATGGGGTTTTATTCATTAAAAAAGGGGTATTTTCCAGTTTTCGGGCTATAACTCAAAAATACTTTCACCAATTTGCAAGAAACTTTGGTGAATTGTTTATATCTATTGACATTAGCTCCCTTTCGATTTTTATAAATTTTAGATTTTATGTTTCCGAGTTGTGGGGTTTTATTCATTAAAAAAGGAGGAACTTTCCAGTTTTCAGACAATAACTCAAAAATGCTTTGAGCAGTTTTCATGAAACTTTGGTGAATTGTTTATATCTATTGACGTAAGCTACCATTTCGATTTTTATAAATTTTAGATTTTACGTTTCTGAGTTATGGGATTTTATTCATAAAAAAGGGGTAATTTTCCAGTTTTCGGACAATATCTTTAAAGTGCTTTGAGCAGTTTTCGTGAAACTTAAAAAAAATTTATATCTATTAAGATAACCTCCCTTTAGTTTTTCATAAATTTCTGATATGACATTGAGAAGTTATTGAACTTTATTCTTTGAAAAAGCGACGGGCGTATCATGCGCTCATGGCGCAGCTGTTAATTGAAAATTTTCACCATGAACTCCACTTTCACTGATGTATACCCAAGAAATGAAGTTGGTGACCCTGATAATTATTTTACATCATTATAACTAAGATTTATTTGGCAACAGCATATACATGTATCTATTTTAAAGAAAAAAATCTATTTACTGCATGTGTTTAGAGAAAGACAAAGTGTTTGCTAGATTTTTTACAAATGTTGAACTAATTCAAGTATTTTCATTCAATGATATTTTAGCCAGTATTACAGTTGAATGAATGTTTTTTTTTTGTATTTTCAGTTAGATATAACTAAGAGGTCAACATGTAAAAGTTGTTTGCAAAGTTTTGACAAAATCTGTGACATAGCCTATTTACCTTCAAACCTTTACAGAGTTAGGACTTCACAAGGATATCAGTTAAAATTATTATTAGTTAAATTTTGTGTTACTACGTACTGTGACTGGGGTAATGATATATGTATTTTGAGTTCTCATGCATATATATGCTCTTGTTCCATATGCAAATTTTGTATGTGTTGGTTTCTTTTTCAGTTGCAAATGGTTATTATCCTCATCACATGAAACAGGTTTTATTTTAATACCTATAATTAGATAAACAATAGAAATTCAGAAGTAAATTTCTATGTTGTCCTTAAAAAGTATACTTGATAAAACCATAAATATTGAATGACTTTTGAGGGTAAACACATTCACTCATCCGTTTAAAAGATATAAATAACAGTTTTTACAAATAAAGGACGTAATTTTGGAAAAAAATCAGGTATGTACTGTAAGGCTGTTATTTAATGTCTGACACTGTACCAGAGGGAGTAACAAGAACAAAATTGTCATTGCTTGAATGAAAAGCAGACATACTCAACATTGTATTTTACATAATTAACCTGTACAGGTGTTCTAGGGTAAGTATGAAAATAACAGTAACTTTTGGTACATATAAATGAGGCAAATTTTGTAATCCAGCAAGAACATTTCACCAAAACTTTATTTATATGAAAATATGAAGATATGTATTAGCAGGTTCTTATTACATCTGTTTAAGAAAGGATTGGAACACACAGGCACTTGTCTGAAAAAGAACAAACCTCTGAACCTTTATAAAATGTGTTATATATAAAGTTATACAGGTAATATTTTTTTCAGAGACAAATGCCTGTGTTAGAACAGTATTCTTATCATTTTTATGACATTTGTTGTATGTATAAGATATGTCGGTTCTATCCTGACCAAAGACCAAAATGGCTTGAAATATCATTTACAGATGAGCTACATGTGTAATTTAAATATTATTGGTGCATTGATACTTCGAGCTATTTATGCTATTAATAAAGGTAATTCACTACCGTGTTAATTGATAGTACAAATACCAGTTCAATGATCACACATCTATTTTGGTGTCTGAGTTTGGTCTATTGAGGACAAACTACAGACTATACATCTATCAAACCATGGCAGTATACTGGTTTATAGTTCAATATTCAGTACTGCAGTGGAATGCTGTAGCTATTAATCCAGGACACTCTACTTTCCTATAGGGGAGTGCTGCAGCTATCAAACCAGGACACTCTACTTTCCTGTTGGGGAGTGCGTCAGCTATCAAACCAGGGCTGGCTACTTTCCTATAGAGACTGCTGCAATTATCAAACCAAGACACCCTACTTTCCTACAGTGGGATGCTGCAGCTATCAAACCGGGAAACTATTCTCTTATAAGGAGATCTGCAGATTAAACCAGGACTGTACTCTACATTAGTGGAGTGTTGCAGCTATCAAACCATTGCTGTCTCCAATATTCAGTACTTCAGTGGAATGCTTCAGCTATTAATCCAGGACACTCTACTTTCCTGTAGGGGAGTGCTGCAGCTATCAAACCGGGAAACTACTCTCTTATAAGGAAATCTGCAGCTTAAACCAGGACTGTACTCTACATAAGTGGAGTGTTGCAGCTATCAAACCATGACTGTCTACTCTACTGCAGTGGAGGATGCAGCTATTAATCCAGAACACTCTACTTTCCTATAGGGGAGTGCTGCAGCTATCGAATCAAGACACTCTACTCTCCTATAGGGGAGTGCAGCCCTGAGTGCTGCAGCTGTCAAACCAGGACACTCTACTCTCCTACAGTGGAAAGCTGCAGCTATCAAACCAGGACACTCTGCTCTCAAGGAGATCTGCAGATTAAACCAGGACTCTCTTCTCTACATTAGTGGAGTGCTGCAGATATCAAACCAGGACTGTCTACTCTACTGCAGTGGAAGATGCAGCTATTAAACCAGGACACTCTACTCTCCTTTAGGGGTGTCCTGCAAGTATCAAAACAAGACTATGTACTTTAATTCAGTGGCTGTCTTCTATGTATATACTTTAGTGGGATGCAATAGCTTTCAAACCAGGACTGTACTGGGATGCTATAGCACTCTGACCTTCACTGACCTTTGACCCCTATGACTAAAACCGTGTCTGATTTGTGTCCTGCACATAACTTTGTATCGTAGAACTTAGGTTGGTCTAAACTTAGTATGCTGATGCATTATGGGATGGGTGTGTGTTATATATCAAATTCAGGTCACTCTAACCTTGACTTTGACCTTTGGACACAGCCCTATGATTTTAAAACATTGTCTGATTTGTGTTCAGTATATAAATTTTGTACCATGGCAAATAGATTGACAAAACTATGTATGCAGAAGCATAATGGGATCTGGATGCATCAAATACCAAAATCAAGTCACTCTTACCTTGACCCTCTATATTTATTCGTTTTCTGAGCATACATGTAACTGTTCTCTGGAGAACTTAGGTAAACCAAACTTAAGTCAAACTAAGTGTGCAAATGCATTATGGGAAAGGGTTTGTAAGTAAGATTATGTCATTGTGGCCTTGACCTTTGACCGTTAAAATGTTGATTGACCTTTAACTTTGATATGACTGAAAGCCAAAAATCTCAATATGTCATAATGTCTCAATACTGAATTTCCATTTGCAACTAAAATGCATGTATTGGGAGAGTACTATTTAAAAATTACTTCTAACTTTAGAAGACTTGTTGAATCATTTCTATTTTATTACCATATTCAAGAAATATGTATTGAAGGATTTTTCTGACTTTAAGAATATTTGATGATAGAATACATTTTTCGAAGTACTTCTGATTTCTAAAGGGATAAAAAGTTTGAGGTCTGGTACACAGTTATTATTGTTTATATTCTACCCCAGGTTAACCTCTGCCCATCTATCCGTCTGTCCACAACAAATTTTCTTAGCATCTACAGGTGGAAGCTTCTTGAATCCTGGTATATGGCAACAAGCTCCATTCATCTGTCTATCCTTCTGTCAGTCTGTCTGTGTGTATGAAACATATAGTTTACAGATTTTAACTTGAGTTTCCCTTGATTGATAGGATTGTTACTTATACAGATGAACAAGATAGGGAAGGAGAAGAAGCATATTGATTTTGCAGACAGTAGGTTAAAGTTCAATGTTCTCTTACCAACAACAGGTGAATTTTGGGAAAAATTGGTTTACATTAAATGTAACCTATTTTAAAACTTTTAGCAATAGACATTTGTACTTTTTTAAAGGAAAGTCAGACCTTACATGTTTTATGTCAATTTATATCCAAACCACAAAATTTGTTTCTTTATATATAGCTTGAAGAAACTTCTTACAAAAAGGACATGTATAGTTGTCACAGGTCATTTGGTTTAATACCTGAAGCATAAGAATGAATAAATGTTTGCATGAGTAATCTGTCCTTAGTAGTAAACATACCACATTACAATAAATATTCCAAAATTAGTCTTTCAGTTCTAGACTGAGGTGCTGGTTCATCAATATATCTAATTTAATAAGGTTAGGATTTACTGTGTGGTGATTGTTCTACCCATAGAAACTGTGAATATAAAGGAAACTGTTAATACATAATTTTCTGTCAGATAATCTGCAAATTTCTACATCTAGGTTCCTGAGCAGCCATTGGCTTAAAAATCAAATTTGGTCATCACAAATCTAAGAACATCCAGGTTTTCTAAACTGAGTTAATATTTGTCAGATGATATCAATCTTTAATGGATTGGGAGTTTTTGTCAACAGTTTTTTCACAGTGCTAACCCAATTATTTGCCAGAGCTAATTAGAGAACAATATCTGAAAGAACAAATGCTTATCTTTCTTCCTGGTGAAGAATTTTTGTCTGGCGATTGATATCGTATATTAATCTCTCTTTTCTATACATGTAATAGATTAACACTAACAGGTACTGTAATCAGTCCATTGTATTGTATAATGATACTCTCTCCATCCATACCTGTTGTCATTTGATTGACTGTAGGTAAAAATTGATTATTTTTTTATATAAATTCTTTCAGGTAAATATAATGAATGTATTTTATTTTTAAGGAGTACACTGAAGAAGGTTTAAGGACTTTAGATATTCTGTGTTGATAATCTTGTCATCAATTGTGACCAGAATAAAGGACAGTACACATACATCAGTGAGTATACATGTACTTAATATATTTTATATAAAATATACAAACTATTGAATCAGGAATTTAGTCAATGCCTGAGTAATTGCTGTTGATTTGTATGCATTTTTTCTCTCTGTTTACAAAATAGTTTTAAATGTTAAATCATGTATATTTATAATAGAAAAAATAAATATATTCGATTTTTAGATTAATTAGCTGATTTTTTGCATCTGTGTTGGACAGAATATTGTCTTTTTTTGTATGAACTTTAACATATAATTTGTGATGAAAATAGTTTTCCCTTAATTTGTGATGAAAATTTATTTGCTACTATGTTTAGTTTGACAAATTCAGTACATATAAATTTTAAGAAACATGAGAACTGAGAAAGAGGACAGACATGTCAGTCTGCTGTTAAACAGAAATCAGCCCTCCCCTAAAAAAAAACCACCTTGAGTGGGAGAAAATTTAACTCCTTTTGTTGAGGAAAAGTCTTTTTCAAATAGATATAACAAGATATGTATGACTGCCAATGAGACAACTCTCCATCCAAGTCACAATTTATAAAAGTAAACCATTATAGGTCAAAGTACGGTCTTCAACACGGAGCCTTGGCTCACCTTGCACAGCAAGCTATAAAGGGCCCCAAAAATTACTAGTGTAAAACCATTCAAACGGGAAAACCAACGGTCTAATCTATATAAAAAACGAGAAACAAGAAACATTTATGAACCACATCAACAAACGACAACTACTGAACATCAGATTCCTGACTTAGGACAGGTGCAAACAATTGCAGCGGGTTTAAATGTTTTAATGGTACCAAACCTTCACCCTTATCTGAAACAAAAGTGTAACACCACAACATAGAAAGACACACTATAAAATATCAATTGAAATGGCTTAACTCAATCAAAAGACATATTAATACAAGTGAACATACACTGAACGAATAAATTTGATCTATGATACAATGTAAATACAAAATCAATAAAATAAGGGATGAATAATTAAAGTAACAGTATCATACCGCTGTGAAAAAACATTGAAACATTGAAACATGTCTAGGAGATAAAGGAGGTACCCAACACTCTGAATAAAATAGAGTTGGCACGTTTAATCTTCATAAATTTTTGACAAAATATTTACTTTGACCCATTGACAAAAATATAAAAATATCAAGAAATTTGAACCACACAATTTACAGGAATTATTTCACTGGACATATTGCATTTTGACAAAGACTGATTTCGATCATCGATAAGCTTGATTTTTCTTGACTAATGATTTTCACTACAAACTGCTCAGAGTATCTTCTAGATACTAGCTTTTGATCATAAACAAGCTTCTGTCCAAGTTTGGTACAAATCCAAAATAGTATAAGAAAGTTATTAAAATTTTAAAAACTTTAACCACAGAGTGAATGTGTTGTTTCCTGGCAGAAAATCTAAGTCCATTTAAAAGTAAATTAAGGAAAAAATGGATTTATTTTTTTACAAAATTTACTTCTGAATAATATCTTATGATCATAAACAAGCTTCTGTCCAAGTTTGGTACAAACCCAGGATAGTTAAAGAAAGTTATTAAAATTTTAAAAACTATAACCACAGAGTGAATGTAATATTTCCCGGCAGAAAAACTAAGTCCATTTATAAGTAAAATACAGAAAAAATGGAATTTTATTTTTACAATATTTACTTCTGGATACTATCTTATGATTATAAACAAGCTTCTGTCCAAGTTTGGTAGAAATCCAGGATAGTTTAAGAAAGTTATTAAAATTTCAAAAACTTTAACCACAGAGTGAATATTTGTGGACGCCGCCGCCGCCGACGACGCCGACGCCGACGGAATGTAGGATCGCTATGTCTCGCTTTTTCGACTAAAGTCGAAGGCTCGACAAAAAGCAAGAATTTTCTGTTTTGATTAAATTCAGATAGCCATCTTTAATTATTTCTATAACTTTTTCAAATCGACTTGGATTTTCATAAAACTCTACAGCCATATAGATATAGGAAGATGTGGTATGAGTGCCAATGAGACAACTCTCCATCCAAGTAACAATTTATAAAAGTAAACCATTATAGGTCAAGGTACGGCCTTCAACACGGAGCATTGGCTCACACCGAACAGCAAGATATAAAGGGCCCCAAAAATTACTAGTGTAAAACCATTCAAATCTCAATTATACATTGATCTTACAGAATGCCAGGTTGTTTGGTTGTTTGATTTATTGCTGTCAAATTTGAGGATTTAATTAATAGGTAAAAAAAGCTAGAATTTTCAATCGGACTGAATTCAGATAGTCATCTTTAAATTTTTTTATAACTTTTTCAAATCAACTTGGATTTTCATCAAACTATACAGCTATCTCAATTATATATTGATCTTGTAGAATGCCAGATTGTTTGGTACTTTGGTTTATTGCTGTCAAATTTAAGGATTTAATTGATAGGTAATTAAATAAGCTAGAATTTTCAGTTCAGACTGAATTCAGATAGTCACCTTTAAATTTGTTTATTCTTTTTCAAATTTACTTGGATTTTCATAAAACTATACAGCTATCTCAGTTGTATATTGATCTTACTGAATCCCAGGTTGTTATGTTGTTTGGCATATTGCTGTCAAATTTAAGGATTTAATTAAGGTAAAAAAGCTAGAATTTTCAGTTCGGACTAAATTCAGATAGTCGTCTTTAAATTTTTTTATAACTATTTCAAAGTAACTTGGATTTTCATCAAACTATACAGCTATCTCAATTATATATTGATCTTGTAGAATGCCAGATTGTTTGGTACTTTGGTTTATTGCTGTCAAATTTAAGGATTTAATTGATAGGTAATTAAATAAGCTAGAATTTTCAGTTCAGACTGAATTCAGATAGTCACCTTTAAATTTGTTTATTCTTTTTCAAATTTACTTGGATTTTCATAAAACTATACAGCTATCTCAGTTGTATATTGATCTTACTGAATCCCAGGTTGTTATGTTGTTTGGCATATTGCTGTCAAATTTAAGGATTTAATTAAGGTAAAAAAGCTAGAATTTTCAGTTCGGACTAAATTCAGATAGTCGTCTTTAAATTTTTTTATAACTATTTCAAAGTAACTTGGATTTTCATCAAACTATACAGCTATCTCAATTATATATTGATCTTGTAGAATGCCAGATTGTTTGGTACTTTGGTTTATTGCTGTCAAATTTAAGGATTTAATTGATAGGTAATTAAATAAGCTAGAATTTTCAGTTCAGACTGAATTCAGATAGTCACCTTTAAATTTGTTTATTCTTTTTCAAATTTACTTGGATTTTCATAAAACTATACAGCTATCTCAGTTGTATATTGATCTTACTGAATCCCAGGTTGTTATGTTGTTTGGCATATTGCTGTCAAATTTAAGGATTTAATTAAGGTAAAAAAGCTAGAATTTTCAGTTCGGACTAAATTCAGATAGTCGTCTTTAAATTTTTTTATAACTATTTCAAAGTAACTTGGATTTTCATCAAACTATACAGCTATCTCAATTATATATTGATCTTGTAGAATGCCAGATTGTTTGGTACTTTGGTTTATTGCTGTCAAATTTAAGGATTTAATTGATAGGTAATTAAATAAGCTAGAATTTTCAGTTCAGACTGAATTCAGATAGTCACCTTTAAATTTGTTTATTCTTTTTATACGACCGCAAAAATTAAAAATTTTTTGGTCGTATATTGGTATGACGTTGGCGTCGTCGTCATCGTCGTCATCGTCGTCGTCGTCGTCGTCGTCCGGTGTCGTCCGAAGACACATTGGTTTTCGCACTCTAACTTTAGTTTAAGTGAATGGATCTCCATGAAATTTTACCATAAGGTTTAATACCACGAAAGGAAGGTTGGGATTGATTTTGGGGGTTATGGTACCAACAGTTAAGGAATTAGGGGCCAAAAAGGGGCCAAAAATAAGCATTTTTGTAACTTCCAGACAATAACTTGTGTGTTAGTGTATGGATCTCTCTGACATTGTACCACAAGGTTCCATATCACAAAGGGAAGGCTGTAATTGATTTTGGGGGTAATTGCCTCAAAATTTTAGGAATTAGGGGCAAAAAAAGGGGAAAAAAACAAGCATTTTTCTAGTTTCATGACAATAACTTGTGTGTAAGTGTTTGGATATTTCTGAAATTGTACTACAAGGTTCCATATCACAAAGGGAAAGCTGGAATTGAGTTTGGGGGTAATTGCCCGAAACGTTTAGGAATTGGGGGCCAAAAAGGGGCCAAAAATAAGCATTTTTCTAGTTTCCAGACACTAACTTGTGTTCAAGTGTATGGATCTCTCTGAAATTGTACTGCAAGGTACCATACTACAAAGGGAAGGCTGGGATTGAGTTTGGGGGTGATGAATCATAAGGGGGTTCAAAAAAATTGGGGGGGGGGATTTTTTTAATTCTTTTTTTTTCTTTTTTTCTTTTTTTTTTCTTTTAAAATTTTCCATTTTAAGTTGGTTATTTCTGATTTATATTTACAAGCAAATAATAATGATATGGTAGGAGATACACACCAAACAGGATGTGTAAATTATTATATAATAAGTATTGTGCAATAGCAAGAAATTTTCAATTGCACAGTATTGCACAATAGCAAGAAATCTTCAATTGCACAGTAATGGCAATAGCAAGAAATCTTCAATTGCACAGTATTGCGCAATAGCAAGAAATATCCAATTGCACAATATTGCGCAATAGCAAGAAATTGTCAATTGTACAGTATTGCGCAATAGCAAGAAATATTCAATTGCACAGTATTGTGCAAAAGAAGATACTTCGTATAAATTGCTTATTTCTTGATCAATTTCAATGCGGTTTTATTCTTGAATTCTTGGGGTTCTTTAATATGCTGAATCTAACCGTGTATTAAGTTTTTGGATTTTGGGCCCCGTTTTTAAATTGGTCCACATTGAGGTCCAAAGGGTCTAAAATTTAACTTTGTTTGATTTCATCAAAAATTGAATTATTGGGGTTCTTTGATATGCCGAATCTAACCGTGTATTTAGATTCTTAATTTTTGGTTCCGTTTTCAAATTGGTCTACATAAAGGTCCAAAGGGTCCAAAATTAAACTTAGTTTGATTTCAACAAAAATTGAATATATGGGGTTCTTTGATATGCTGAATCTAACCATGTATTTAGATTTTTGATTATGGGCCCAGTTTTCAAGTTGGTCCAAATCGGGGTCCAAAATTAAACTTTGTTTGATTTCAACAAAAATTGAATATATGGGGTTCTTTGATATGCTGAATCTAACCATGTATTTAGATTTTTGATTATGGGCCCAGTTTTCAAGTTGGTCCAAATCGGGGTCCAAAATTAAACTTTGTTTGATTTCAACAAAAATTGAATATATGGGGTTCTTTAATATGCTGAATCTAACCTTGTATTAAGTGTTTGGATTTTGGGCCCCGTTTTTAAATTGATCCACATTGAGGTCCAAAAGGTCCAGAATTTAACTTTTTTGTTTGATTTCATCAAAAATTGAATTATTGGGGTTCTTTGATATGCCAAATCTAACCGTGTATTTAGATTCTTAATTTTTGGTTCCGTTTTCAAATTGGTCTACATAAAGGTCCAAAGGGTCCAAAATTAAACTTAGTTTGATTTCAACAAAAATTGAATATATGGGGTTCTTTGATATGCTGAATCTAACCATGTATTTAGATTTTTGATTATGGGCCCAGTTTTCAAGTTGGTCCAAATCGGGGTCCAAAATTAAACTTTGTTTGATTTCAACAAAAATTGAATATATGGGGTTCTTTGATATGCTGAATCTAACCATGTATTTAGATTTTTGAATTTTGGGCCCCGTTATCAACTTTGCCCACATTGAGATCAAAAGGGTCTAAAATTAAACTTTGTTTGATTTCATCAAAAATTGAATTCTTGGGGTTCTTTGATATGCTGAATCTAACCATGTATTTAGATTTTGGATATTGGACCATAATAGGTGAATGTCCATTTTGAAATTTTTAAGTTCTTAGACCACATTCATTCTGTGTCAGAAACCTATGCTGTGTCAAATATTTAATCACAATCCAAATTCAGAGCTGTATCAAGCTTGAATGTTGTGTCCATACTTGCCCAACTGTTCAGGGTTCGACCTCTGCGGTCGTATCAAGCTGCGCCCTGCGGAGCATTTTATTCAAATTTACTTGGATTTTCATAAAACTATACAGCTATCTCAGTTGTATATTGATCTTACTGAATCCCAGGTTGTTATGTTGTTTGGCATATTGCTGTCAAATTTAAGGATTTAATTAAGGTAAAAAAGCTAGAATTTTCAGTTCGGACTAAATTCAGATAGTGGTCTTTAAATTTTTTTATAACTATTTCAAAGCAACTTGGATTTTCATCAAAATCTACACCTATCTCCATTATGTATTTATCTTACAAAATACAGGGTTATTTGGTAATTTGGTTTATTGCTGTTAAATTTAAATATTTAAATTATAGATATCTATCTGAATTTAGTCAAAACTGAAAATTTAAGCTTTTTTTATACCTATTAACTCAGTCCTTTCCTTAAATTTGACAGCAATACACCAAAATACAAAACAACCTGGCATTCTGTAGATAAATATATATTATAAAGATAGCTGAAAAGTTTGATGAAAATCCAAGCTGATTTGAAAAAGTTATAAAAATTTTAAAAATGACACCTTTGTTTTGTTAAAACAAGAATTTAATATAATCATGATAATAGAACTTTTATTGCAATCCTTGATAACACCTGGACAAGCGAAATTTGTTGAATCAATTAAAAAAACCAAGTAATATACAGAAGGGCTGATCATGCAATATACATATACTTTGTACATACATAATAAACAAATTTGTTAGTTATTTCTTGGCAATAAACATATTTATACCCAAACTGACTGTTTATTACCAAGGACTAATTTCGACATCGATAATCACTGAATTCTCAATTTATTCAGTCGTTAAGTTTTTAATCGGGAGAAAGTTTTGTAAAATACTAAATTTTGAATATTGCATTATTTCGTCATTTTTCAGTAAACAAAACAGAGATAACAATAGAGAGAAGGCAATTAAATTTATAAGCAATCCAATACACAAATAATGCAAGATTTAATTATGAAATAACTATATTTTTTCATGATGGTTATTCATAAGACTAAATTTTCATTTTGTTTTCAAATAATTAAAATACATAAGAGTTTCTATGCCTGAAATAACATAATTACTCGTGGATTTGACAAATATTTTGGGATATTTTACTTACCGGAAATCATATTTTAGCGACTTATTACGAAGCAACGACTGGAGACTTAAGGAGATTTAGAATGTTCGAATAGTGTTCTTTGATTGACAAAAATTTGAATGATTTTCATGTGCTGACATTTGTAAAATTTACAAAAATCTGTGCCTCTTGATTTTGCAGAGATCGAATAAAATTTCCCGCCATTACAGTGCATTTCTTTATTGATAGAATTTACTTTAAAGATATATTTTCTGCGAGTGCAAGAGAGTATATTTGATATTAAAAACATGAACAAATCAATCTTTTCCAGATTCAAAATTGTTGAGGGACGCTAAAATCGTACCACGTGACCTACAAAAATTTGCACACAGCACCTAAGGCTGTCGCCCCTCCTCTGGTTTGAACTGAATTCTGATAGTCACCTTTAAATTTTTTTATAACTTTTCAAATCAGCTTGGATTTTCATCAAACTTTTCAGGTATCTTTATTATATATTTATTTTACAGAATGCCAGGTTGTTTTGTATTTTGGTGTATTGCTGTCAAATTTAAGGAAAGGACTGAGTTAATAGGTATAAAAAAGCTGAAATTTTCAGTTTTGACTAAACTCAGATAGATACCTATAATTTAAATATTTAAATTTGACAGCAATAAACCAAATTACCAAATAACCTTGTATTTTGTAAGATAAATATATAATGAAGATAGGTGTAGATTTTGATGAAAATCCAAGTTGATTTGAAAAAGTTAAAGAAATAATTAAAGATGACTATCTGAATTTAATCAAAACTGAAAATTCTTGCTGTTGTTACCTATTAATTAAATTCTGTAATTTCACAGCAATGAACCAAACTACCAAATAACCTGGAATTTTGTAAGATCAATATTTAATTTAGTTAGATGGGCTGATTCAGACCAGTCAAGACTAAATTTGAAGGTCAAGACTAGTCGAGACAGGTCGTGACTGGTCGAGCCTTGGTTGAGACCATTTCAGACTACACCAAGATTATGAAGTACTGAATCAGACTTATTAAGTAAAGTCGAGACCAAAGTCCAGTACAGTTAAGTACTGTTGAGATAATGTCGAGTCTAGTCGAGTAAAATTTGTTCTCGACTTTACTGGTCGAGCACAAAATATGGTCTTTTCAAATTTTCAGACTCTGAGCAGTTTGTAGTGTTTGTGATTAAAAAGTTCAGCTGATTTTTAAAGAGTTAACTCCCTTAGGTATTCTGTTACCCTTTAACAGTTATTCATGTTAACCATCCTGGTTAATTCAACTACTGGTAATTATGTGGGTAAACTGAATTTCTGAACTATTCTTTGGATTATTTTTCATGCAACATACTTATAATTAATTATAAAATAAAAGTTGTTTGTACCATATATATATTGGAAACTTTGCTTGTTATTAAATTCTTTCTTGCTAGAGGTTTTTGTCACAAGGAACATATAAGAACTACCATTCTGAATGGGAAATAACTTGCTTCAAACTATATTCCTGACAAAACTTTTAATGACTGCTGAAGCAGGCCTAAACAATCCCAAAATACCAACTTAATTGGTCAAGACAATAAATACAATAAAGAGTTCCATTTCTATTGATTAATTTCAACTGAATATCTGCTGTTTACACATACATATTTCATAGATTATATAAGTATCATTATGTTACCAGAGTTGTACCCGTAAATCCCATACAGGCCAGTTCCAGGTAATTATCTGGTACATGTGTATAAATTCTGGTATGTATGCAAGTGTCTTTTGTCTCCAAATTAAAATTCTGCAGATTATCTTTACTGCAGGTACATCTGTGAAAAATGGGAGATTAAATTGTAATTGTATTATTGAGTAAACTTTCAGATAGGATCTATATTAATTGTATAATGATTTTAATCACAATTATACAACTTGGTGAAATTGTCATTAATTTCATACTTTAATATATCACTTGTCTTTCATAACTCAATTTTGAAAGAAACTTGAAAAGTATATGTTCCCAATCTTATTTTTCATATGACCCCTTTGAATATATATGTAAAGAGGTTTTCAGATTTGAGCCTCTATAAAATGGGAATTATTCAATGTACATGTAAGATGTTGCATAGAGTTAAACAATGTTCCTGCCAACTTCTTCATGCACTTCCCAATGCAGGCAATAACTTGAACATAATACAAATATCTGTGTTCTGTTTCAGTTCAAAACAACATAAATTTTACCTTTACATACATAATTAATTATTTTCTTTTTGCACAATATGCTGTTATTCAAATTTATTTTCAGTCCTATTATTACATTTCAAACTTGACCGAGTTGTCTTTCAAACAGGTTCAAATTGTCTTTCAAACTGGTCCAAGTTATCTTAAAAAGGGGTCTGAGTTGTCTTCAAGCTGGTCCTTGATGTCTTTAAGTTGGTCCTAGGTGTCTTGGTCCAAATTATCTTTGGTCTGTGTTTCCCTAAATTACAAAGGTCTGCCATTATCACAAAGTTCTCCAAATGACAAAAACAAACATTAAGATCCAACATAATACAACCACAAATTCAGAGAGACCAAATTGATTGATGAAACATTTGTTTTTTCTTAATTCAAGATATATACATTTTTTTAATGGATTTGTCATTGAAATTATCTTTTTTCTTCAGTTGTCATATTTTATAATTAATCATATTTGTTCTATTATATATTGCAGAAATAAAATAGAGAAAAACTTCTTCAGCCATGTTGTTAGTTTGTCTGACCTTGGTGGTCAGTTTTCTCTCTGCAGAAGCTCAAACACATAATGGGTAAGTGAAAACATTCCAACTTATTAAGTTTTTACATTTAAACTTATATAGGTGTTAACAGATTTATCTATATTTGTTGTAACTAGATGTATTCTAGAACAATTTTATTATTTTTTGGTTAACGTAAAAAAATTGTTCAGAAGAAACAGCATGCTTCAGGAAACATTCCACTTGATCCATTTTGGTTTCAAACAGCTCTTCATAAAGATAGTATAACTAACAGGATGCAATATTAATTGATTGTTCGAGTTTAACGCCACTATAACACTAATGGCTATATCCTGGCGGCCAGCTTTTATTTGTAGAGGAAGCCGTAGTGCCACTTTTAATACATTCTTCAAAAGAAGACTTTGCTGTGGAAGTACATAAGACAACATTACATCATGAACCGCTGGGAATCAGTGAAACCCTTCTCAAGTACAACACTTTCTTGTTGTACTACAGTTGGGAAAAAATAAGATTTTCCTGCAAAATTGAAAATATTTTGTGACAGTTTCACAAGCCTTTTACAGGAACATAAGTTATGAACCAAAAGGTCTAAGACACCATTTCAAGCAAAAAATAACAAAGTATTGTTTTGATATATAACTCTAATACCAATTCTGTTGAATGACAAGTTTGTTTTAAGTTTTTTTGGATATGATAAAATGTTTTTTTTTTAATTTCTAATATAGAATAGTAAATTATGTTTTTTTTTAATGCCAATTCTGTCGAATGACAAGTTCTAAGTTTTTTTTTGGACATGATAAAATGTTTTTTCAAATTTCTAATATAGTATAGTAATTAAATTATGTTTTTTTTTGTATTTTTGGATTGCTGTCCCATTGACATATACGTAACATCTCCTTTTATTCATACCTAGCTAGTTGTTTTTTTCAAAAGTAAGGGACCAGTTAATTAACCCCTTTCAAATGTGTTTTCTTTCTGCAAGCCAACATATCACAATGATATTTCCCAAGGAATAACTAAATTTGTTGTAAATATAGATTATTTAAAACTGTTATATCTATATAAACAGCTCAGACATGTACAGGAATACAGTGTTTGGAAAAAATCTTGCCTAAAAATACTTCACATGTACAGCTCATTATCAAAATATCTACAAAATGTTAAATTGCTTTTGTATTGACCAATGTGTTGACCTATTTTCTTATCTTTAAATTATACGTTTTGGTTTATTTTAGTATAGTATTGGAAAACCGGTCTCTTTATATTATATAATATTAATGATGCATTACTCATTAATGTTGCATTCATGAAATAATTTTTTAATTTCTGTTCAGTACCACAAAGTACCATCTTGGGTGTGAATTAAGTGGATGTAATTGTCAATACAGAATTATGCACTTAAAAAGAGGTTTACTTGTTTACAAAATTACCAGTGCATAACAATAATAAAGAAGACGTGACTTCAATTTGTCACCAAATTTAACTTGAAATTGACTTGATAAAATCAAATGATAGTTTTGAATATTGATGTAAGATATTTATTTTTAGGGCTGCAAACCATCGTGGTTTTTTAAACCCTTTCTATTTTGAAGTTACCATAATCACCATTTCACAATGATTCACTCCAACTCAAGCAAGAGTGATTTTTAACAGAACCACCCTGTTTGTATTGTACTTGTTTCTATGATCGGAAATTAGTATCACTATCTACTTTAATGGGCATTCTCTCATTTAAAATTACATAACACTTTAATTTACTCCCAAATAAAGTTATAAAAGTAATTACAACAACATTTTTAAAAAAATTTTTTTTTTATATTTTTTTGTATGTTACTGTTAAATGGGAATACTTTTATAGGCGAGAACACTGTGAGGGTTCCATGGGACCCTTTACAAATTTTTTTCGTTTCCAATTTTTATTCAAGATGTTAGTTGAATAAAAGCTCTTAAATTTGGTCAAAATAAAGGGCAATTACTCCTATTCAGAGTCCTTCTGTCATATTGAATTCAGATAGATCTTGTCATGCCAATCCTTTTTGCACTCTACAGTTTAGGAGTGCCTGTAATAATTTTCAAGATAATAGCTAAAACAAGAAATTGAGTGAAAATTGTCATTCAAGGGCATATAACTCCAGTAGAGAGTCAATTGAGGATTGTGCCATTGCGGTCATGTGACTGATTTGAAGAACTTGTAATGCTGATTATTTTTGCTTAATAAGTCTCCCAAACAAAGTTTGGAGACTTATTGTTTTTGCTCAGTTCTTCTACTTTTTCTTCTATCTCTTCCTCTTCCGCCGCTTTTTTAAATGAACTTGTCTGCACCCGATCTCCAAAACCGCTAGTCAGATTTACTTAAGGTTCCACAATATGTTAAACTAACATGTCTAGTTGTGCAATCAGGGTTTTGTTTGTGCACTGGGGTCTAAAAAGGGGGTACTTTGAGGGTCCAACAGAAGGGAGGGGTTTACTATAGAACCCTATGGGATTTTATTTTTTTTAATTTTCAAATGATTATACCTTGAAAATAGTTAGTGATAGACACAATCTTTATCATTGAAAATGTTCTACATGATAAAGCACATCAAATGAAATAAAGGGTTAGTCCCCAGGGGTCACCCCACCCCCTGCCATTTGAGTTAGTTCTAATATCTTGTAAGTGGTTAAGATCCCCACCCCTAAACCATACATATTCTGGTTTGTCATGATAAAGAACATCAAATGAAATATAGGGCTAGTCCCCAGGGGTCACCCCCACCCCCTACCATTTGAGAAAGTTCTAATATCTTGTAAATGGTCAAGATCCCCACCCCTAAACCATATATATTCCTGCTCATCATGTCACGAAGATTTGAATGATATATAGGGTCAGTCCCAAGGGGTCATTAATGCATATCACTTTACTGGACCAAACCAATTTTTACTGGATTTTGCCCAATGTCCAGCGACTATGAGAATGACTGTAATTATGGGAACTTTGTTTGGGAGACTTCGTAACAGCATCCTGTTACAACTATTTCTTGTTAATGTTTCTGTCTATCTATTATAGTTTCCAAGATACTGTAAAATCATAAATCAATGTGTGCATTTATTATTGCAAATCACTGATTACTAGTAAAAATGGATATCTAATTGATATGATTGTAAACATTTTGTGATTGAAGATCACTCCTGAAAGTAGAAAAATTTGAGTTTTTGTCTCGCCTTGACGGAGTTAAAAAGCGAGACATAGATATGCTATTTCCGACGTCAGTGGGGGCGGCGTCAACAATGTATTAGTTTGTGATTAGGTCTAGTTCATGGTGAACCACTAGTGGTAGGTCAATGATATTTGGTATGCAGTTGTATTAGCAATGGCACATCTCATTACCATGGAGATTATTTGGCCCTGCCTCCTCAGTCAAGGTCTATTGACTTTGAAACTTTTGCTTAGTTTTCATGTATTAGTTTGTGATTAGGTCAGTTTAATGGGAACCACTTGTGGTAGGTCAATGATAATTGATATGCAGTTGTATAAGCATTAGCACATCTCATTTCCATGGAGATTATTTGGTCCTTACCCCTCAGTCATGGTCTATTGACTTTGAAACTTTTGCTTAGTTTACATGTATTAGTTTGTGATTAGGTCAGTTTATGGGGAACCACTAGTGGTAGGTCAATGATATTTGGTATGCAGTTGTATAAGCATTGGCATATCTCATTTCCATGGAGATTATTTGGCCCTGCCCCCTCATTCATGGTCTATTGACTTTGAAACTTTTGCTTAGTTTTCATGTATTAGTTTGTGATTAGGTCAGTTTAATGGGAACCACTAGTGGTAGGTCAATGATAATTGATATGCAGTTGTATAAGCATTAGCACATCTCATTTCCATGGAGATTATTTGGTCCTTACCCCTCAGTCATTGTCTATTGACTTTGAAACTTTTGCTTAGTTTACATGTATTAGTTTGTGATTAGGTCAGTTTGAGATGAACCACTAATGTTAAGTCAATGATATTCGGTATTCAAATGTATTGGCATTTGCAAGTTTCATTTCCATGGAGATTATATAACCCCACCCCCTAATTATGGTTCATTGACTTTGAAACTTTTACATAGTTTACAAGTTAATGTTTGTGTTTAGGTCTGTTTAAAGGGAACTTATGAAAAGTCAATGGTATTTGGTTTGCAGTTGTATTAGCATTGGCACATCTCATTTCCATAGAGATTCTTTAGCCCTGTACCTTCAGTCATGGTTCATTGACTTAGAATATTTGCATAACTTACATGTTAAAGTATTGCTATTTTAATTTCAACATTTGCATTATCAAAATAACAAATAGGCGAGACATATATCTGTGTTAACAGTTTATTATTATTGCAAAACTGATACTGTCACATTTTTCATTGGCAGTCATACCACATCTCCTTATTTTTATATTCTGTGTCCATTCTTTGCTGATAAGGATCTGACAATGCTTTGTTTTACTCTCTGTTGTGATGAACTTTTAAGGATCCTTAGGCTTTATTCTGTGTCAACACTTTGCTTACAAGGATCTGACATCTCTCTGGTTTACTCTCTGTTGTGATGACCTTTTCAGCATCCTTAGGTTTTATCCTGTGTCCACACTTTGCTTACAAGGATCTGACACCTCTCTGGTTTACTCTCTGTTGTGATGAACTTTTTAGGATCCTTAGGTTTTATCCTGTGTCCACACTTTACTTACAAGGATCTGACTTCACTCTGTTTTACTCTCTGTTGTGATGATCTTTTCAGGATCCTTAGGTTTTATCTTGTGTCCACACTTTGCTTACAAGGATCTGACTTCACTCTGTTTTACTCTCTGTTGTGATGAACTTTTAAGGATCCTCAGGTTTTATTCTGTGTCCACACTTTGCCTACAAGGATCTGACACCTCTCTGGTTTACTCTCTGTTGTGATGAACTTTTTAGGATCCTCAGGTTTTATTCTTTGTCCACACTTTGATGAGAAGGATCTGACTTCACTCTGTTTTACTCTCTGTTGTGATGATCTTTTCAGGATTCTCAGGTTTTATCCTTAGTCTACGCTTTGCTTACAAAGATCTGACAATGCTTTGTTAATTTACTCTCTGTTGTGATGAACTTTTCAGGATCCTCAGGTTTTATCCTTAGTCCACACTTTGCTTACAAGGATCTGACACCTCTCAGGTTTACTCTCTGTTGTGATAATCTTTTTAGGGTCCTCGGGTTTTATCCTGTGTCCACATTTTGCTGACAAGGATCTGACTTCACTCTGTTTTACTCCCTGTTGTCATGATCTTTTCAGGATCCTCAGGTTTTATCATATTTATATATACCTTCAAAATTTTAAGGGAGAAATTTCATTGGTTGATGAACAGAAAGTAGAACTTACATTGTCAGATCTTTGTAAAGGAATGGGGGAAACTAAATTTGTTTTTCGATCAGACAGATATAAAATGAATTTTGTTTTATTTTACTTTAAAAAAAAAAGAAGAAAATATGGAGTTAATAGCACCATTGGGAAACCTTGGCAACATACAAACTGTTGCTACTGAAAATTCAAGAAAAATATCGGTTCCTTGGTTGTATTGTAGACATTAATTTTGCTTTTGTTGGTCATGAATAGATTTAGGCAACATATTTGAGATAAACAAGCAAAATATTATACATGTCCTTCTGCAGGCAGTCTTGATGATATTAACAACCAGTTATTAAATGCAGTATAAAGATGATGTTGGTTTCTCCTAAAGAAAACAGTGTAAAAATATCTTGACATCTTGAAAAATATAACATTGATTTTTCATTAAGATTTGTATTATTGAGGTCAAAATGAAAGATAGGTGGAAGATATTAAAGAGATATTAAAACTCATAGGTCCATGACAAACTGACAAGTCATGGCACAAAATAAAAAAAACAACCAAAAGACAAACAATAGTATATAAAACACAACATAGAAAACCAAAGAGAGAACAACATGAACCCCATCCAAAACCAAATGTGCAGAAAAGAATACTTAAATATGAGTTTATTACTGAATATTGTAAAGACTGTCATTTAATCTTGGAAACACACTTCAGACATATCATTATTAGAAGAAGGATGGTCCTTCTTCTAAGGCACCTTTAGATTATATAGTAATAGAGAGGCGAAAGATACCAAAGGAATATTATATAGTAATAGAGAGGCCAAAGATACCAAAGGAATATTATATAGTAATAGAGAGGTGAAAGATACCAAAGGAATATTATATAGTAATAGAGAGGCCAAAGATACCAAAGGAATATTCAAACTCATTAATTGAAAACATTACTGTCATGGCAAAAAAACAAAATATGATGAAAAGAAAAACAACAGTTCACAAACACAACAACTTAAGTCTGAGCAACACAATTCCCACCAAAAACTGTGGGTAATAGCTATCATTACCTATGTTGTTATACATTGGTTGCTCTCCAAACTTTTGGCTCTGAGTATCCCATAAAATTCAGTAAAGAACATGCACATTCAGGAAGTTTTAGACTGATCATAAATCCTATGCAAATATACCATATATGACTGCTGTAATTTTGTGTTTTGTACTTAAAAAAATTTATATATATAATATATTATTTTAGAACGTTTGTTGTGACTGCTCCAAAGGAAGCCAGGATTGGTACCCCATATATTGTTAGTGTTATTATGACGGAGCCAAGATCTGATACATTGTCAGGAAAAATTGAAATAGCTACCAGTGATTCTACAAAGAAAAAGACAGAAATGTTTAGTATTGCCTCAACAGGTAAAACACGTGTTTAATAAGAGATATTTGATCTACACCTATATATAATTAGTTATGTTTATAAGGATAGATTTTTTTTTCATAAACATGATGAAATGTAATATTTTATCCTTCAACAATGTATGGCATGTTATGGAAATGGGATATTTATGATATTTATAGTAGTAGGAGTTATACACTGTGGTCAGATTACACAGTATGGAGTTGACTCCCAGACTTGATTCTGCTGAAGCTAATTAATTTGTAAAAGATATGAAAATGCTTGTATTCTTAAATTTTTTATTAAGCTATATAATATGGTATGTTGTTTTTTTATGACAATTATGAGAAATGAAATAAAACTTCTTTTTAAGGATAAAGAACAGATTGTAATTATAGGTTTCGTAACGATTGAGAATTAGATATCGCTTGATATCAACTCTTCAATATAATAATAAACGAGCCTTCCACTAGTTATTGTTACTGTTCGATTAAATAACGAGAGTTGATATCAAGCGATATCCAATTCTCAAGTGTTGTTAAACCTATTTCTCTTATGGTCAACCCCTCATTATGTTTAATTCCGCGAATCTTTGATCTAATCTTTTGCACATACCAGTATGATGTCATATGTCCTGTTCCTGTGTCAAATTTTAACATGAGACATTTTAAAACTTTTTGTATGCTTCAGAATGTATTGAAATTTGACAAAAAGAAAATTTTCAGGTGAAAAGTATGAGTGTTTTGTATATTATTAAAGAAATCACTTATGTCCCTTGCCATGGACGAAATGTACATCGTCTTAACCTTTGAAAGTCATCAGTGACCTAACGAATAGCCAATGGAAATGTCATAATAACAGCCCATGAAGCTGGATAAGCCAATCAAATTTTTCGTATCACTTTTTTGTACACTCTGTGCAGTGTGATACGAGAAATATCTTTTCATGCAAGAAATAGATAAACGGTCACAACCATAAGAGAATTGATAATATTTATTTTTGTGAATTGTTAAAATAATATGCTTAGTAAAGGGACTGTATCAAAAGGCTGATAGCTGATTAAAACTTAACTTACATAGTTTTGGGTTGGTGGTATGTAAAATTCAGAGCAAGTTTTCTTGTCCTATATTGGCCTATTATAGTGTTAAAGCATTTCCAATGTTTGTCCAGTCAATATAAAATCGAACAGTTATTTGAACCTTTTTTTTTCCTTATGCATTTAGCTGATATTTAGTTTATAAGTGCATATTAGTGAGTTGAATCTCAATTGCTTTGTTTCCCATGGCATACTTTTGATGAAATTACAATCCTTGGACTGTTTAATGAAAATTGTTCTTGTCAAGACTTGTTTTTTGCCTGTATGTAATGAGCTATTAGTCTAGTGATAATACTGTAAATTCAGAAATTATTGCGTGCATTTATTGCGATTTTTGAAAAATTATCAAAAATTTGAGAATAACTATTGCGAATTTTGGAATAGCTACATACAGATATATGTATTTGATATCAGAATGCGAGTTTTTATTATTGCGATACTCAAGTGGTCACGTTGTTTGCATTAATAAAAACCTCGCAATAATTTCTGAATTTACAGTAATTGATAGTTTTCCATTATAAGACTCTTTCAGAATATTCAATAAAGTACCTAAAAAAGAAAATAATTATTTTCTATTTGTTTAAATATGATAGGTTTGGTTTCATATTATTGACAGTGGTAATGAGTCCCCTCATTGGGGTGTCCAAGTATTCACATAATCACAATTTTTTTGCCAATATAATCACATAATCATTAATTATTTTTGTAAACAAGATAATCAAATAATCAAAAATACAGTCCTAGATTATCAAATAATCAAAAAATCATGAAATATTTGGTCTGGTAATCAAATAATCACTATAAAAACGGTCAAGTAATCACATAATCAAAAACCCCATGAGGAGGCTTGGTAATGACCTTCTGTTTTATCAATTATTGATCAAATGATACAAATCTGGAATACTTCTACGGATCATCAACCACTTTCCTTGCTGAACATAAAGTAATTGTATGTCTAAATACAAGGAATAAATACACAACTGATCTGTAGATAATCTACATTCAAATTATCATTAGAAAAAAAGGGCTGCACCCACAAATAGGATTTACAATGTCTACAGTATAGTTCAAATAAATGAACAAACTTTTCCGGAGTCTCTATCATTAATTTACACTTCAAAACTTCAATTTGCAGAATTAAATATTGTATATATATTCTCTAAGACATAACATTGAGATATTTTCATATAAGATATCTTGATTTCATACGTTTCACAGCTGTGAGGGGATAGTGAATATAGTGAAGTGGATGTATTACACAAAACATTTGCCTGTTAGACTCACCCATACATTATTAGAGAGGCTTGGCTTCTGTGTTTATTTGCCATAATGTGCCTGAAATATTCTCTTTTTTTGTCTCACCAGGCGACAGTCATTTCAGCATGGGCACTCTTGCTTGCTTAAATCTGGCAATATTTGAAGAGTTTATATCACCCTACACATTTATGGTTAAATTAGGATAATTTTGTAAGGATTAATTTTTTTCATATTTTGCAATTTAAGGGACCAAATTTTGGCTCTTATCCTATCTCCTCCTTTCTTTTCAACACTGATTTTTCTATCTAAAAATGCAATTTCACCATAACAAGTTCATGACTAATTTAGACATAATAAATTGATTATTGATATTTAAAATAGCTGCTTGATGATATCGTACTTACATGTAGAATTTTTGTAGATTATTATAGAGGATGCATAATGAGTATATTCCCTAATGGTTACATTGATATTTTAAGTGAAAAAACCTGAAAAGAAGAATAAACAAATCGTTAAAAATTAATGAAACATGATAGGCAGCAAATTGATTCAAACATAATTTCAAACATCGTTGTCCTTTGGTCTTAATGGATAGTAGTCTCATTGGCAATCATACCACATCTCCATGTCTATATATAGACACTTTATAAAACGTTAAACATGAATTTAGACAATTATTTATTTTGATTTTTTTTTAAGATATATATATATATGATATTTATTGTATTTCAGAGAATAAAAAAGATGTGCCTATAACTGTTATGGTAAGATTATTTATTCTACAAGGATGGATATATTTTTTCCAACTCCTATTTATCTATGGACAAGAGTTCACTCAAAACTAACAAGTCTTTTCTAGAATTTACTGGTTCACTGTAGTATTATATGAGAAATTGGCTTAGATGCATTAGATAAATTACTGGACATATGAGTTTTTCTCATTGTTGAAGACTGTACAGTGGCCTATAATTGCTTACTACATACCGCCTCATTTCAACTCTGTTGGATAGTACTCTCATTGGCAATAATACCACATCTTCTCATTTTTCTATGATACATTTTATTTGTCTACAGGTGCCCAATATTGGTAGAAAGCCTTGTGCTTTACATATAAAAGAACTTTTATTATTGCTTTCTGAAAGGTGTGTTAGTGATCTATTGAAAATTGAAATTTGGCTTTACCAACATTTTGTCTTTTTGCAGTATTGGTCTGAATTTCCTGCCATTTGTTGTAGTTCACCCACTTAGCAGAATATACTTGATTGATTTATTGTTTTTGTCTAGCCTGGCAAGACATAGGTGTTGCTTTGCTGGCGGCGGCATCAACAATTGTTAAGTTTTCTGCTGAATTCAGTTTGATAGGAACTACTTGTGATAGATCAATGATATTTTCTATAAAGTTGCTTTACTATCAGTACATATCAGTTTGACAACTATTTTAAACCCCTGCCCCCGTAGATCATGGTACAGTGACTTTGAATTAATTAGCAATGTTGCTGTCTATCAGATTGTTTTCTTCTGAATTTTCTGAAGACAGGCAAGACATATCCCTGTGTCAACATTTAATGTAATAATGATTTTGTCCTAAATACGCATGTTATATTTGCCAGACAATATCAGCAAACAGTAATAGATCTACAACAAAGATCCACAAATTTTAACCTCCGTTTATAGAAAAAATATCATTTTATATGCCTTTCAGAAATATGGAAATATAGAAATTCTTAAATATGACAATTTTACACAATCTAAGTTAAAAAATACTTATATTTGGACAATGGGAAAAGTAAAATATAAGTATGTAGCTATATATATAGTGAATGACAAAACAATTGATACTCTGGCAAACTTTCAAACTTTTTACGTTTCATATGCATTAGATTTTCACAATTAAATATTCACCCTTGTATGTACTGTGGACTTGATATTTAATTTTTTTCCATTTAAATGAACTGTATTTCATTCACCTCTTAATAAAGGTCAAGGTCATAAAAAACTTAGTGAATACTTAAAATACCATAAAAACAAGTCATTTAAAAATAGGATGTCCTTTTATTATGATAGTACATTTAAATCTGTTTATTTATAGAATATTATTGAAAAATTGGGGTCTGAATGAAAGAGTTATATATGATAAAGGAGACTATTTGAGTAACAACTGCTTTAGAATCCACAGCCAGTTGTCTGACACTAGCATTCAAGTTGGTGTGCAGGTTTATTTTGGAGACACTGATCATTTGCTATAACAGTTTTATGGTTGAGTTGCTTTGATACAGTTTTAAAGCTTCATTACTCATGTAAAGTTTATGTTTGTGAACAGATCCAGATACTTTATGAGCTACAGTCATAGCATTGAAGTAAGGATGCATCTTCAGGATAATATAGCATACTATACATTATATGCTACAACAGACAAAACAACAAAAAATCATTCTAAAAGCTTAAAAATGACATATAAGCTGCATTTTTTTAATATATTATGTTTTAGGCTGGTGATTTGGACCCTGGGAGTTATAGATTGAAGTTTGAGATGACAATAGGAGGGAAATCTTTGAAGGACAGCATTGAAATTAACCTTGTTGATGATGGTGGTTTAATCCTGATTCAAACAGATAAGGCCATTTATAAAAAATCACAAACCGGTAAAGCATTTACTGTAGATTCATTAATATTGATTGGATACCAGTTTTCGTTGATTTCATGGGTGTAGGTTAACCACGAATTTAAATGTTCACATAAGTGAAATTTTCCAATAGGCTTGTATACAGACCAAGAAATCAAATATCCACGAAAATAGCTCACTCGAATCAAATGGCCAGTATAAAGTATTATTATACCCCTTTGAACAAAGTTCCGTAGGGTATTATGTTTTTGACCCGTCCTTCCGTCATTCCCTCCGTCAATCCTGTTCTTGTCATCACAAACCTTAAACTGCACAGCAGAATTTCATGAAACTTTGTAGTTAATATAAACATACTTTGTAGATGTGCATATCGACAGGAAATTATGATTCAATTTTTTTTTTGTGAGTTTTTCCCCTTTGAACATAGAATTTTGGCCTAAATATACTGCTGTTACAGTTTGTCATCGCAACTCCTCTGAAACCACACAACAGAATCTTATGAAATTTTGTAGATAATAAGGACATAATATGTAGACGTGCATATCCACAAGAGATTTTTATCAGTTGACTTTCGTAGGAGTTATGAGTCTTTGAACTTAGAAATCTGGTGAGATTTTGTTTGCCCAGTGACAATGTGGGGGCTTGGGGTATGTGAGCATGCTCACAGAGGTTCTTTAATTATTGCTAGATGTCTTTCATACATTTTATGAACTTTCAAAAACATTTTCTTTCCTTAAAGCACTGTCCAGATTGACATAAAATTTTATTGGACAACATCTCAACTTCCAAATTATAATTTGATAACAAAATATTGTGTCTTATTTTTTCTGTGCATTATACATTGTTTCAGTTCAAGTTAAAAAGTTTTGAAAACTAGATAAGAATTTGACAAATCAGACTTTACATTTTGAGGTTTGTACCTGGAACTACAACAGTTAATTCATGGGTTAAGTTGTAGTAGCTGAAAGATGAAAAATGCCCAAAAATTATCATGTGCCACCAGCAATCTTTACTTTTATGTGATGAATAAGTACAACAAAATATGAAAGTAATTCAAAAATAACTCAGACAGCAGTTAACTTTTAAAAGACAAATACATGAAAAAAATATGAAAAAAAAACAAACATAAAGGAAAATACTGGTGAGAAAATGGTCACTCAAATGAAATGATAAACCACCAACTTTGACAAGTGAAGAAAAGCATAATTATGACTTAACACCTGTCATTTTTTTTTCTTCAGTGAAAATGAGAATTGTTCTCCTCAATGCAGACTTAATGCCAGTAAATAAAAAGATGAACATCACAATTGTTGTAAGTACTTTATTTTCTATATATGATTAAAATTGGGCTTTTTGAGTAATGAGAGGGAGGGTAAGTGTATCTAAATATCTGTTTCGTACATGTTAGATATAAAAAAAATATAAAGATAAAGCTCTTCCTTAAAATAATCTAAGGTGCTTATGTGCAGTATGTCAAAAAAGTACAACAAAAAAATACCGAACACCAAGTCAAAATAAAAAAGGGAAGTCCATAAAAACAGACAAAATCAAACACTATCAATCAAAGAATCCAGAAAAATTTAATAAAACAAGCATCCGATTTCCCTATGATGCCAAGAGTGAATATTGAGTTCCCATCACTCTTACACCTGTTAACAAAGCTCAAATAAGGCCATTTGAAAGACTTCAGAAAAGTAAGTAAAGAGCTTCAGAGTTGAGTTATACTGGAGTATTCCTATCAGTTCATTCTTGCTCATGTTATCACATTTCTGTAATTAAATAGTATGCAACATAAGCAAGACTGTATAATTAATAATAGTACTTCAGAGTTGGGGATAGCCTTGTTTTTTCCTGACAGTACATTCTTGCTTATGATACACATTACTGTAATAAAATCATTCATGAACTGTTATGTCATGGTGATGTTAGATTTGGCAGAAGCATTATATAGATGAGTTGTGTCATGCATTTCATTGCCTTTGCTCACTTGATATCCTGGATAACAAGATCAGGTTGTTGTACAGTGGCTGATCCAGGGGAGGGGGGTTCCTGGGGTTGAACCCCCCCCCCCCCTCTTTTTTTGACGATCAATACTTTTGAATGGGGACATATGATTGGAACCCATCCTTTTAAAAATGGCTGGATCCACCCCTGTAGTATTTAAGCTATATATGTTATTATTAGAGTTCCATGTCAATTTTTCGAGGCAACTGTTAACATCCCAAAGGCTATTAGCAGCTCTGCTCATTATCTATTGTTACACATCATTTACTTATATATTTACAATAATACTTTTGATTTTTAGGATCCGGATGGTAACAAAGTTCAGAAATTGACTGAAGAAAAAAACAACACAGGTGATAATTATTTTACTACCACCTAAGAGTTTAAAATAGTTTTATTCACCATTTTTTTCTTGGGTCACAGAATGAATTTTTCATGTAGCTATTGCCATCACTGTCATTTTTATCATGTGCTTGTATTTAACTCTGAAATATATGTGGCAGTTTTTTTTCACAATTAGGTTTAATTGACAAAAGGAATGTTGCAAAAATATCATGTATAGAAAAAAATTCAAATAAAACACCATTCTTGTTTCTAAGGATGATATCACATATTAAAAAAAGGAAATCATTTAACAGATCAACATTTTTGTCTCGCTTTGATGGAGTCAAAAAGCGAGACATAGGTATGCTGTTTCCGGCGTCGGCGGCAACGGCGGCGTCAACAATGTATTAATTAGTTTGTGATTAGGTCTAGTTCATGGTGAACCACTAGTGGTAGGTCAATGATATTTGGTATGCAGTTGTATTAGCATTGGCACATCTCATTACCATGGAGATTATTTGGCCCCGCCCCCTCAGTCAAGGTCTATTGACTTTGAAACTTTTCATAGTTAACATGTATTAGTTTGTGATTAGGTCAATTTATGGGGAACCACTATTGGTAGGTCAATGATATTTGGTATGCAGTTGTATAAGCATGGGCATATCTCATTTCCATGGAGATTATTTGGCTCTGCCCCCTTAGTCATGGTCTATAGACTTTGAAAATTTTGCTAAGGTTACATGAATTAGTTTGTGATTAGGTCAGTTCAAGGGGAACCATTAGTGGTAGGCCAATGTTGATTGGTGTTCAGTTGTATAAGCATTAGCACATCTCATTTCCATGGAGAATATTTGGCCCTGCCCCCTCAGTCGTGGTCTATTTACTTTGAAACTTTTGCTTAGTTTACATGTATTAGTTTGTGATTAGATCAGTTTAAGATGAACTGCTAATGTTAAGTCAATGATATTTAGTATGCAAATTTATTGGCATTTGCAAGTATCGTTTCCATGGAGATTATATAGCCCCACCCCTGATCATGGTTCATTGACTTTGAAACTTTTATATAGTTTGCAAGTTAATGTTTGTGTTGAGGTTTGTTTAAAGGAAACGACTTATAATAAGTCAATGGTATTTGGTACTGTAAACCGGGAAATTTTCGCGCCGTCTTTATTTCGCGATTTATTAACACAATCTTAATTCGCGCCGTTTTGAATTCGCGATTTTCCTGTGACCTATATACATATTTTCATAAATGAATAAGAAAGTGAACAGCTTTACATGTATCGTAAATCAAGTGATAAAATCAATCAGAAATATTTTGTTTTCGGTTCATTAATGTTAAAAGAGATTAAAAGTTGTGTCATGTTTGCTTGTAAAAACACATACACTATAACAGAAAAGAAGAGCTAATTAAGAGTGAATTTAAATAAAATGCTGTCAGGATTAATGCTAATTAATTGATCTTTTGATCTGATTAATCTTTGTAGAAGATTCAACAAGGTATTACTTTCAAAACTGATTGACAGGTGTCATTTACATATAAGTGTTGTTTACATAACAATATCCGTAATGTTCGTTATGTCCGCTTGCTTGAGTTGTCTTCCATTTTAATAAGATTAACTTGAGTAAAGTCATGATTTCTAACATTGCTTTTCATTTAAAAATACAGTTATGATTTTAGGTATAGATCTGTCGTCTGTAAAATCGGTGTTATACAGTGGTCCTCTACATATCCTTTTCATATACGCACATGTATGGTTTTCATCTAATGAATAGAGTTTCCTTGAAATTTTCGCGGTCGTTTTATTTTCGTGTTTCAATTCTTACCGCGAAAATAGCGAAAATAAAACTGCCGCGAAAATTTACCTGTTTACAGTATACAGTTGTATTAGCATTGGCACATCTCATTCCATGGAGATTGTTTAGCCATGTACCTTCAGTCATGGTTCATCGACTTTGAATATTTGCATAACTTACATGTTAAAGTATTGCAATTTTAATTTCAACATTTGCATTATCAATATTACAAAAAGGCGAGACATATCTCTGTGATAACAGTTTATGGTTGAATTTTATTACTTTTTTTTGGTGTCTCCTAACAGCAAAGCAACAGCCACATATAAGGATCCGTTCTGTCTTCTGCTTAAGTATTCCACATGTTCATTAAATAGCAATATAATATCTATTGATACATGTATCTGACATGTATTTTTTTCAGATGTAATATACAAATATCTGACATACATTATTCAGGTTTTATCTATTGTCTCGCCTTGACGGAGTCAAAAAGCGAGACATAGGTATGCTGTTACCGGCGTCAGCGACGGTGGCGTCAACAATGTATTAGTTTGTGATTAGGTCTAGTTCATGGTGAACCACTATTGGTAGGTCAATGATATTTGGTATGCAGTTGTATTAGCATTGGCACCTCTCATTACCATGTAGATTATATGGCCCCGCCCCCTCAGTCAAGGTCTATTGACTTTGAAACTTTTCATAGTTTACATGTATTAGTTTGTGATTAGGTCAGTTCAAGGGGAACCATTAGTTGTAGGTCAATGATATTTGGTGTTCAGTTGTATAAGCATTAGCACATCTCATTTCCATGGAGAATATTTGGCCCCGCCCCCTCAGTCATGGTCTATTTACTTTGAAACTTTTGCTAAGTTTACATGTATTAGTTTGTGATTAGATCATTTAAGATAAACTGCTAATGTTAAGTCAATGATATTTGGTATACAAACTTATTGGCATTTGCAAGTATTGTTTCCATGGAGATTATAAAGCCCCACGCCTGATCATGGTTCATTGACTTTGAAACTTTTACATAGTTTACAAGTTAATGTTTGTGTTTAGGTTTGTTTAAAGGGAACGACTTATAATAAGTCAATGGTATTTGGTATGCAGTTGTATTAGTATTGGCACATCTCATTTCATGGAGATTGTTAGCCATGTACCTGCAGTCATGGTTCATCGACTTTGAATATTTGCATAACTTACATGTTAAAGTATTGCTATTTTAATTTCAACATTTGCATTATCAATATTACAAAAAATCGAGACATATCTCTGTGATAACAGTTTATTAATGTCTGACATATTATTCATGATCAGATGATATCTACAGATACCTGACTTTTATTATTCATGTGTTATTTATTGATATCTGACATATATATTATTCAGGTGTTAAATCATAATATCTGACATTTTATATTCATGTGTTATCTTTTAATATCTGACATATATATTCAGGTGTTATCTAATAATATCTGACATTTTATATTCATGCGTTATAATTTAATATCTGACATATATTATTCAGGTGTTATCACTGTGGAGTATCAGATTTCAGATGATCCCAAGATGGGAGATTGGAAGATACAGGTTCAGTCATCCGATGGAATGGTTTGTATATTGATATCATAAAAAGGGTATAGGTAGATATTGATGAGTCTGCAAGACTAACACAAGTTAGGAGAAAATAGACATATAGGGATTATAGGTCTCCAACACATTTTTAAAAGGATGTTAATTAATAGATTTTGATGAGACAGCAAGCCAACACAGGTTAAGAAAAAAACCCCAGATATATAGAGGTCACAATATGACCTTGGACCCATAATGTTTGAATTCTTATTAGCTCACTGTAGGCATGGTTGAAAGTGTGTTATAACTTTCACTAAGTGTCTTGTAAATCTGTCTTCCAATTTTTTTTCTGTGATCTTAACTGACAAAAGAAGAAAACACAGAAAACACCAATATATAGGTTGCATGCACTTGAGTTAGTGGTAAATGGGAATCAACAGATTCAATTCTCTTCAACTTCATAATTGGTTTAGCCTTCCATCTGCTTTTATCTGAGCACTGCTGATGTTTCACATGTATTTGAATCAAACTTGTTGTACTTAATTATAATCCTAGTATCATTGATGAGTTTATACAGACACTGTAAGATCATTGGATACTTTCAAATAGGAGTTACAAAATGGATAACTTTAAATGAATGACGTTTCAAACATGTAGTAAAGATAAGATAATTTTCAAAATTGGAACTGTAAGTTGTGAATAAAAACTTGTTAGTAGAAGTGTAGTACTATATGTAATGAAATATTGATGCTATATGTAAAATTTAAATACAAAATATAACATTAAAAATCTTAACATTAATTTTTGAAAACTGTAGATCAATATTATCTTTATTTTTAGGGTGAGGGAACTGAGAGAAATTTCACAGTAGATGCTTATGGTAAGTTTTGTTGTGAGACAATATTAAAAAAAAGTGTAAATTAATGAAGGTAACTGGTACTAGACCAGCAAATCTTTCTGTAGCATTATTTTCAATACCTTTTAAACAAGGAATTATTTGAATCTGGAATAATTTTTAATTCTGGAAAATTGATGAGAAATTTATGATGAAAACTAACCCAACTAAATAGGGTTAGCCATGCGCGCATGACTAAGGGGGGTTAGTTAGTTCATACTGAAATGATAATGAAAGTAAAATTAACCTTAGCCATGCGCGCATGGCTAACCCTATTTAGTTGGGTTAGTTTTCATCATACATTTCTAATCAATTTTCCAGAATTCAAAATTATTCCAGATTCAAATAATTCCTTGTTTTTATAAAACATTGCAATAATTTCTGAATTTACAATAATTTCTCAATTTCTTTCATACAAGAGAACAATAAGAAAAATAATTGCACAGAAAGATGATACTGTTGAAGCCTTAATATTAACAATTTATGTGTATAAAGATTTGAAATCAGACTTGTAGATAGGCTGATAAAATATTTTGTTATTATATTTCAGTTCTGCCTAGGTTTTCCGTGGAGGTGAAACCATCTGTTCCATTTGTCTATGTTAAAGATTTCTCATCGGTTGATATTGATGTTGAAGGGATGTAAGTATCTCATTACAGAACTCTCTTGAGAAAAATATTTCATGATATATTATTTTTTCATAAATCTATAATAACCTCTGTTTTGAGCTGTTATTAATTTAAATGGAAAATGCACTAAATTTGTCAGATCTTTCAGTTTATTTCAAATCCCTTGATTTTCCTAAATGAACTTACCTACAATAGTAAAACAGCGCCTGTTTTCGTTGAACTAGCACACAATTTTATTTAGTGGCCAGTTGATGACCACCTCCGGGTGCAGGATTTTCTCGCTGCATTGAAGACCCATTGGTGGCCTTCGGCTGTTGTCTGCTCTTTGGTTGGGTTGTTGTCTCTTTGACATATTCCCAATTTCCATTCTCAATTTTAATAACATGACCACTTTTAGAAAATTTGACGTTATGATTTTTCTTTTCTTGCATAATTTTGTATTTTATACATTGTTCTTCCTTTAACCTTTTGTGGATTTGCATTATATTCTGGTTAACTCTTTGCATTTTATTCTGGTTAACTGACTCTTTGGAGGATTACATTTTTAACCTTTTGTGGATTTGCATTATATTCTGGTTAACTAACTCTTTGCATTATATTCTGGTTAACTGACTCTTTGGAGGATTACATTTTTAACCTTTTGTGGATTTGCATTATATTCTGGTTAACTCACTCTTTGGAGGATTACATTTTAAAAAAATACATGAAATTGTACTATTTATTTGTAAAGCCTGCAAATCTAAGAGTTGATTTTTTGTGCTTAAAGTGTATAATGAAGACATTTTTTTATATAGATTAGACAGTTGGTTTTCCTGTTTGAATGGTTTTACACTAGTCATTTTTTGGGCCCTTTATAGCTTGCTGTTCTGTGTGAGCCAAGGCTCCGTGTTACAGGCCGTACTTTGACCTATAATGGTTTACTTTTACAAATTATGACTTTGATGGAGAGTTGACTCATTGGCACTCATACCACATCTTCTTATATCTATAGATAAAATTTGCTTTATGTTACGATTAATAAACTTTTCATGATAAGATTGGCATTGTGGACATTCATGTCATACTGACATATCCAGTTTCCAAAATTTGAAGCCAAATTTCAATTCCAATCTCATATTTATAGTCCCTTTCATTGTTTCTCAAAGAATACTTGAAATGTTATTACTAGGATTTATGAGAGCAATACAATTTTAGTATGAATAGGGTCATTTTATTGACTTCCTATAAAAAAATAAAAAAGAAAATTTGAACTATTTACTCATATACCCCGTAATCTTCCACGATATACATTTCTGATTCACAATAATTTTTAATTGAAGATGAAAAGTTTAAGGATTATCGGCAGATACAACAGATTTTAACACCTTTACATTGTTTTCAACAATATCACATTCTAAAGATACTAAATTTAGAAGTTATTGCTATGTTTTTATTGATATGAAAAATGTGACAGTATCAGATTTGCAATAATAGACTCAAATTCGTTATTTCAATAGTGATTTTCCTTCACAAAATTTTTACAATTGCATTATTTAGATCTTGCATTTTTACAAGTAATCAGGGATTCACAATAATAAATGCATTTACCAGTATTAATTTCTGAATTTACAGTAGAAAATTAAGTAAGAGACTTCACTCATGGGTACCGTCTCGGTGGTCTCTTGGTAGCATGTTCTCCTCAAGTGTGGGAGGTCGTGGGTTTGAACCCCTGCAAGGTCTAACCAAAGACATTTAAAATTGGTATTTACTGCTTTTCTGCTAAGCATGCATCATTAAGGAGTAAGAGCAAAGACTGGTCGGCTGGGAGTCAGAATAATGTGTCCAGGTAAGGTGAAATGTCTTCCTGTGGACTGTTACCTTGTAAACTAGCACTTTAAAAAAATCTGGCTCAGCGTGTCGGTCTAGTACAAAGCAGGGTTAATATTCATATTACATTAACATGTTTTCTTCCTGAATATGAAATTAAATTTGCAGCTGGACGTTAAGCATCCATCCATCATCATCACTCACAGGTACTGGACTGGTATCCTGTCAACAATTAAAATTCTTGGATGCTATTATGATTAAAAAAAAATTAACCTATGATTTTGATTGTGTGCAAGACACATTATCTGTAAAAAACCTTATCAGTCACATTTGAGACCAAAAGTTTGATAATGCAAATACATAGAAATATAAAAATAAGGAGATGTGGTATGATTGCCAATGAGATAACTATCCACCAAAGTTCAAATGAAGTGGATGTAAGCAATTATTGGCAACCGTACAGCCTTCAACAATGAGAAAAACCCATACTGTATGGTCAGCTATAAAAGGCCCCGACATGAAAAATATGAAACAATTCAATTGAAAAAACTTAACGGCCTAATTTGTAACAAAACAATTTACGAAAACAAATATGACAGACATGAACCAACGACAACCACTGAACTGCAGGCTCCTGATTAGGGACAGGCACATAAAGAATGTGGCGGGGTTAAACATGTTTGTGAGCGCTCAACCCTCCCCCTTACCTGGGACAGTGATGTAACAGTACAACATAAGAACAAACTATAAAAATCTGTTGAAAAAGGCTTAACTCATCAGATGGAAACAAATAGAAATACATCTAACAAAAACACAGAGTGGACGTGGACAGGTACTTATACATCCCCACAACAAAAAGACACTACATACAGAATTGAGAGTACTCGCAGTTACTGACAGCTAGTTCAAAACCAATAACAAGTAATGAAAAAAATCATGTATCTAAGACTAAAATATCAATCAGTACACATCCAAAATCCAATGGATTTAGTGTAAAGACGTCAGTAACAGTCAGAGAAAAACATGACCTTGTGCAATGCCAAACTATAGGTATCGACAGATTGTTGAAGTGTAAAAGTACATATGTGAAATATTTAGTATTGTTTTAATTTACTGATAACAAAATCAATGTTTATACCAATAAAAGCAATATTCAAAGAATTAATGACAGTGTTGAATAGGTAACCGTTTAGAATAAGTTTATTTAAAGAATTGATAAGTTTACCCGGATCGTATCTAAATTTCCGGGCTTGGTTTACAACATTACCGTAAAATTTAGGATGTGCTATTCCAATTGAAATAAGTTTTCTACAGGTACAACCAAACTTGCAGACCAAATCTTTGTATCTATGAAAGAATTTAGTAAAGGTTTTAAGTAATTTCTTGTAATGAAATCCCTGACTTAATAATTTACTAGTAATACATAGATTACGCTCATTAAAATCCAAAATGTCACTACAGACACGAACATAGGGAATGAGTTGGGTTATATAAACAACGTAAGACTGTGCCAAAGGAACATCACTGTCCAAAAAGGGAAAATTAACAACAGGAAAAGAAAATTACTCTTTTGTGGTAAATTTTTGTGTAGAGTTTCTGGTGTAATACTGAAATATCTAAATCTAGGAAAGGACAGTTAATACTGTTGATATTAGATTTATTTAAAGTAAGTTCCTTTGGGTTAATTTCAGCAGTAAAGTTAGAGAATTCTTGACTATTTAACGAAAAAATATCATAAAGATAATGGTAATTGTTGTTGAATTTATCAATTTAGGAATACCTACATTCTGTCAATAAACTTTATTGCCAAAACTTACATAAATGTTGTCAAGGAAAAAATTTAATCATCTCATCACACCTCCAGTAAGTATATCTAGCATATTTACCTTTCTCATTAGAGAAAAAGGCTTTATGTGAGTTGCAGGAAATAAATTTGCAACCAGATTTATCAAACGACCATTTAATTAGATAGGAAAACTTTTGTTTGATAAGATTATGTGGAAGTGTGGTATAAAGATTGGAAAAGTCAAAACTGTCAACCGAATCAAAAGGACCATCAAATGCACGTAATTTATCATCCAAAGATCATTTCTGTTCCACATGACAATAAATGTAGCAGAAATAGGTCATTACGGTAAAAGTCAGTACTAAACTAAGTAATAGGATGCAGTAATCTCCATAGGTCAAAGTGTTTAAAATGAGTCACAGGTGAAGGTCAGTTACAAATCAAGTTCATTTATGTTAGTTCTTGTAGCATTAAAACCAAGAACTGGCAACAGGCAGGTGTGTATTTTAATTTCTTTGTTACTCTTTTTCATGACGCAAATACCATACAGGGAAAATGGACAAATTTTTTGGAGCTTATTTGAAAAAAGTTTTACCTGGAATTTCTGCTATAATTTGTCATTAGACCTAACATAGCTATTCTTTTAATTCAGATATACATACGGAGAAGGTGTTCATGGAAGTGCATCTATTAAATGTACACTTGAGGGAACTACATTCAACAAAAAAGCTCAGTTGGTATGTAAACAAATATTATAAAGATCCTGTTAAGTGAAGGGAAATAACTCTGATTGTCTAGAAAGCATTGGATATTATACTCTCCCTTTTCATATAGACAGAATATGATGTGTGAATGGATCATGTTCTTACAAAAACCAATGTGGGGATGTTACAAGGTTATAAGCTAGAAACTTATTCTATTCTATTAGCCAATCAAAATTCAAGCTTTGTAAAAAAAAAAAAAAAAATTCATATTGTTATCTACATTAAAGGCTGTGACTATAATATTAAAAGGATAAACACAGAAACACTTTTGGCGCCAATTATTTATTTTAATGAATTAAAAATTATGCAATAACTCTGATTGTATAGTATAATGACATTGAATAAATATACTCTCCCTTTTCATCTACTGGTAGACAGAATATGATGAATTTACAATGGTACATAAGCACCACTTTGGAATGCATTTGATCTTTATTAATCAAATTTCCCAAAATAACATAATCTCTGCTTTCTTATTAAAAGAATTTAATGGTGGCAGGAACAGAGAATTGTTTTTAAATGACACAATGTGCTAGAAAGTTTAATTGTTTGCCAAAAATAATGTATTCTTAAAAGATAAGTAAAACCATATGCTAAATGCTTAGCCTGAAACGTGATATTTAGCATTGGAACTCCAGACATAAATGTAAAAAAAGTTTGACCTTTTAATCACTTTTTAGTGAACTACTACCTATGTAATTTAAAAATTTCATCAATATTGTGATTTCTTGAAAATTGAAATGGGATAGTGAGAGCAGGGCATGGTGTCCCATGGACACATATTCTTGTTTGGATATCAGTTATACAATAAAAGATTAGTATGCATGCTGTAACGCTAAAGTAAATTTACAAAAAAAACAAATACATTCAGTTCTTTTATTTACCAGTTCTATTATTTCCTGATAGTGCTTGGAATAAATTTCTGGTTAATATCTGGAACAGAATAGCATGGTTTGATTGATTTCACTATTCTTAAAATATTACAAATGACTGAACCAACGCCTGTTAATCTTCAATACCATAGAATCCCTGATGTACTTTACTAAAGTGTTGTTGTTATAACTGCTTTCATATTCTTAAAATAGTTTTAAACAACACAGAGTAACTTAGGCCCTTGGGTTTTGGGAATGAATATTCTGGCCTGGTAAAAGCTGGCAAATATAACCTGTGCTAAAGACAGAATGAAATTGAATAATTTGTCCTACAATTAGCCAAAGAATCATAATGCCAGTCACCCCCTAACAATCATATGGTCATCCCCTTAGGCTAATTAAACTGTTTTGAATAACTCAGCAATATTTCAGTTTTAGAATCGGTATATTTATAGGTTTCATAACGAGTGATAATCATGATATTTGGATATCGCTTAATATGAACTTTTATATAGTAATAAATGAGACTTTCTTATTACTATTTAAATTAAATAAAGAGAGTTGATATCAAGCAATATCCAATTCTCACGAGTTGTTAAACCTATTTCTCTTATGGTCAAAACTCTCATTGGGTTAAATAAAAAATTCTGTGATCAAGTCTTTTACACATACCAGGATAACGTCATGTGTCCTGTTCAAGCATCAAACATTGACATCAAACATTATAAAATTTTTTGTATGCTTCACAATGTAAAAAATTTGCGCAAAAAGAAGATTTTCAGGTGAAAAGTGTGAGTGTTTTGTATATTATTGAAGAAATCATATATGTACATTGCCTTGGACAAAAATATATGAAATATACATGATCTTAACCTTTTGAAAGTCATCAATGACCCAATGAATATCTAATGGAAATGTCCTAATATCGTCTCATGATAATGGATAAGCAAATCAAATTATTGCATTTTTCATATATTTTTTTGTATCGCACTCTGCGCAATGTGATAACAGGTTGCAATTCTGTAAATATAGACAATGCAATTTCCCATAGGAACTCCCTTTGCGGCTGAAGTTTTGTGAAAAATGATATCCCAGAACGGAAAGTTTATATGCACTACTATTTTATTCAAAGGTCAAAATATAGGGCTGTGCGGCATATTTTCAACATTTATATGCCCTGAACTTCTAAGAGTTTAAACTTGTACTAAAATTCTATACTACCCTTACCTCCATATTTGGACCTCCTAAGAATTAAAATTTAGGCGCTACCATGTTTTTCTATACTGGTTACATTCCATAGTGATGTCTCTATGAGATGAAACACAGAGATCATAAATGGGAACCAGTATGTTAACAAATTAACATATTTATGAATATTATATATCTCCCCAAAAGAGGCGTGGTTTGAGAAACAGCTGTATTTACAAAGTGCAACCTATACAAACATTTATTCAAATAGAAAACTCTCTAAAAACACTTTTTCTCACAACAATACTTATTTATTAGAATTATAGCCTTAAAGAAATCACTGCATATACTCTTAAGTTTCCTTTTACAGTACATTTTATACCCCTACCCCTGTTTCAATTTTTTAAAGAATTTGAAAACAAGACTTTAATTATTGCCAGCTTACCCTATGTGCATGTTTTCTGACATGAACTGTCTAAAACCTGTTTGAAACTATTCTGATAACAAATTGAAAGCATTTTGTAATACTATAAGTGTATTGTTAAGTAGTTAATCATTCCAACTTTCAAGATTATACAAAGAATCCAATCCTGCCTGTGTCTCCAGTCCACATCTTACTGAATGCCTATTTGTCAATGAAAGTTCATAATTTCTGTCTCAAATGGTCAGTTAAGAATTCTTGTCTCAACAGTATCATCCCTAACCATATATCTAACATAAGTTTGTAAATATATGAACTAGAAGAGTCTAAACAAAGCCATATTTGCAAAAGTTGTATTTAAGAAGATATCTATCTGGTGCATAAATTCACTAAAAGTTTGATAGAAATGACTGCTTACATCTTATTTTTGCATAACTTCCCAGCAGAGTTATTGTTTTCTTTACAAAAGACCTTGAAAATAATAAAAGCATAGCATTTACAAGTTAAATTATCTGTTTTATGACCCAGGGGTAGGCATTTTTTTCTGTTTTTTGTCCCTGGGGCCTCACATTTCCTAAATATTTTCCAATGTTTCTAGCAATGTGGAATATTTAGTATATATTTAGGATAGAACACACTATTGTAAGTTTTATTGAGGTCTTTTTGTAATTCTAGCTTGTACTTTTTAATGCCGCGGTCACAAAAAAGCATATTTAAGTGTTACGGCTTACTTTTTGGTTATCGACAGGACAAAAACACACCAACAAAAATATTTAGGAAGGATCAATGAGTTGCAATGACTGCGAAGAGTAAACATAAGCACTTCTAAACAATTTAAATTACAAATAGGCATATATTTATGAATTTATTTTGAATTCAGGGCTTTAAGTAAACCATTCATACTGTAAACTGTGAATTTATGCTGAGTCATCATAGTTAAGGCTCAGGATTTTCTCAATCTTCATGAAATATTTATAAAACTTCATATTTCAGTTAAATTCTTTAAAATCTCTGAGATAAACCAGATTTTGTGAAAATCTGTATGTTCTATTTTTTAACCCTATATAGGTTGCAATTCTGTAAATATAGACAATGCAATTTCCCATAGGAACTCCCTTTGCGGCTGAAACTGTGACACTTTTACTATGAAGTTTTGTGAAAAATGATATCCCAGAACGGAAAGTTTATATGCACTACTATTTTATTCAAAGGTCAAAATATAGGGTTGTGCGGCATATTTTCAACATTTATATGCCCTGAACTTCTAAGAGTTTAGACTTGTACTAAAATTCTATACTACCCTTACCTCCATATTTGGACCTCCTAAGAATTAAAATTTAGGCGCTACCATGTTTTTCTATACTGGTTACATTCCATAGTGATGTCTCTATGAGATGAAATACAGAGATCATAAATGGGAACCAGTACGTTAACAAATTAACATATCTATGAATATTATATATCTCCCCAAAAGAGGTGTGGTTTGAGAAACAGCTGTATTTACAAAGTGCAACCTACAAGAAATATTTCTTCATGCAAGAATTAGAAACAGGCCACAAGCATAAGAGAAAACTTCATTCATAATACTATTATGATAATTTTTATTCAAAAGATGTTTCTTCCTTAAATATCTATAATAAAATTCACATTCTGAATTTCTAGTTTTATGTACACTCATCCTGTACAAAGCCTACATTGACTCTAAACTGCGTGTCATCAAAACCTGATTTTAAATACGACATGTAAACATTAATTTTTATCAATGGGAATGTAGTAGAGTTTCATTTAAAAGGACACCAACTTGAGCATAATGTCAACACAGCATAAGACAAACAATTTTTATGGTTTTTATACGACCGCAAAAATTTTTTGGGATCGTATAATGGTATGATGTTGTCGTCGTCTACGTCGTCTGCATCGTCTGTGTCGTTGGTTTCCAGACAATAACTTGAGTTTAAGTTAATGGATCTCTATGAAATTTTTTAAGAAGGTTCAATACCACAAAAGGAAAGTTGGGATTGATTTTTTTCGAGCCTTTGACTTTAGTCGAAAAAGCGAGACATAGCGATCCTACATTCCGTCGGCGTTGGCGTCTTCGTTGACGTCGTCGGCGGTGTCCACAAATATTCACTCTGTGGTTAAAGTTTTTGAAATTTTAATAACTTTCTTAAACTATCCTGGATTTCTACCAAACTTGGACAGAAGCTTGTTTATGATCATAAGATAGTATCCAGACGTAAATTTTGTAAAAAAATAAATCCATTTTTTCCTTATTTTACTTTTAGATGGACTTAGATTTTCTGCCAGGAAACAACACATTCACTCTGTGGTTAAAGTTTTTAAAATTTTAATAACTTTCTTATACTATTTTGGATTTGTACCAAACTTGGACAGAAGCTTGTTTATGATCAAAAGCTAGTATCTAGAAGGAAATTTTGTAAAAAAATAAATCCATTTTTTCCATATTTTATTTTTAAATGGACTTAGATTTTCTACCAGGCCACAACACATTCACTCTGTGGTTAAAGTTTTTAAAATTTTTAATAACTTTCTTATACTATTTTGGATTTGTACCAAACTATGACAGAAGCTTGTTTATGATCAAAAGCTAGTATCTAGAAGGAAATTTTGTTTTCTTCCAGTTAACATTACATTCAGTCTGCAGTTAAAGTTTTTAAACATTTATTAGATTCATAAACTATCCTTGATTTTCACCAAACTTGGACAGAAGCTTCTTACAATCAAAAGATAGTATCAAGTGGAATATTTTTATTGATTTACTTCCTCATTTTTGTTGAGCCTGCAATTAACAGAAAAAGTAGGAGAGACACTGGGTTCCGCGGAACCCTTACGAATTTTTGGGATGATGGTCCCAACAGTTTTGGAGTTAGGGGCCCAAAAGGGGCCAAAAACAAACATTTTTCTAGTTTCAGGATAATAACTTGTGTATAAGTATTTCGATTGCTCTGAATTGTACAACAATGTTTAATACCACAAGTAGAAGGTTGGGATTCATATTAGGGGTTATGGGGCAAACAGTTTAGGAATTAAGGGCCTAAAAGGGGCCAAAAACAACAATTTTTGTAGTTTCCGGACAATAACTTGTGTGTAAGTGTATGGATCTCTCTGATATTGTACCATAAGGTTCCATATCACAAAGGCTGGGATTGAGGTTGGGGGTAATTGCCTCAAACATGTAGGAATTAGGGGCCAAAAAAGGGCCAAAAAAGGGCTAAAAACATGCATTATTCTAGTTTCCAAACAATAACTTGTGTTAGATGTGTATGGATCTCTCTGAAATTGTACTACAAGGTTCCATACTACAAAGGAAAGAATTGGATTGAGTCTTGGGGTAATTGCTCCTAGAGGGGATTCCAAAAGTCGCGGGGGGGGGGGGGTTTCCAATTTTTTTTAAGGAATTCATATTTTTTTCAAATTTCAAATTTTGTAAAAGTTTCAAGAAGTAATCTTCAGTTGCACAGTATTGCGCAATAGATTTGTAAGATCTTTTACCACATTTATTTTGTGTCAGAAACCTATATTATGTCAAAAATTTGATCACAATCAAAATTCAGACAGTATCAAGCTTGAATATTATATCCAAATTTGCCCCAACTGTTCAGGGTTCAACCTCTGCGGTCGTATCAGGCTGCGCTCAGCGAAGCATTTTATTGTTTTCCTAAACTGGAAATTGGCATATCATTGCACATGTGGCTTGCTTTGGACTTCCTGTAGAAATTCTGTAAAAAAAAAAGCTATTTTCACCCCAGTCTGCTTCTCAGTAGATATGTATTGATCTGTTAATGCAACGTAACCTAAGCAAAGATATGACGAATGATATACCTAATTGGCTTAATACCCTCATGGGTATATTTAATACTTGTAGACTCTTTGGATGCATGTATGAGAAATCTTGTGAACAGCTGAACCAAGGAAATCTAATTTGGAAGGAACATTTTTTTGTTAAAATCCCTATGAATTCTAACCACTGTAATTCAGTGCATGTTAACCAAGTCTTACGGCCTTTTTGAGAGTTAGATAATGCTTAATTGGCAACTTTTACATGTGGTAACACCTTTAGTTAGCTCGTTTCATTTCACTTAATTTAACTTAAACAATTATCTGTTTCAAAACTGACAGAAGAAATGAGATTAAAGTTATGTCTGTTCTTTCGCATGAAGTTATTTCTGCTATCTTAAACTACTTGCAAGAATAGAATTGAAACTGATCGACATATTCATTAGAAAATTTATTCTGTGACATAACAAGCACTTTAAGCATCAACAAGTTTTTAAGGATCAGAGGATAATAATAATGAATGCCAGTTTTGTTAAATTTAAATTTGATAGACCTAGCATCTTTTATATTTTTTATTAATCATCCAAACTAGTTTGAAATGCATTGTAGGAGAGTATGATATGAAGGGCTTACTTCAACTAACTGGTAATAAAGGTCACAGCCAAAATTAAAGGAAAGAGAATTTTAGCTCACCTGACCCGAAGGGTCAAGTGAGCTTTTATCATCACTTGGCGTCCGTCGTCCGTCGCACGTCGTCGGCGTCGTCGTCGTCGTCGTCCGTCATCGTTAGCTTTTTACAAAAATCTTCTCCTCTGAAACCACTGGGCCAAATTTAACCAAACTTGGCCACAATCATCAATAGGGTATCTAGTTTAAAAAATGTGTCCGATGACCCTGCCAACCAACCAAGATGGCCGCCATGGCTAAAAATAGAACATAGGGGTAAAATGTAGATTTTGGCTTATATCTCTGAAACCAAAGCATTTAGAGGAAATCTGACATAGGGTAAAACTGATTATCAGGTCAAGATCTATCTGCCCTGAAATTTTCAGACAAATCTGACAACCTGTTGTTGGGTTGCTGCCCCTGAATTGGTAATTTTAAGGAAATTTTGCAGTTTTTGGTTATTATCTTGAATATTATTATAGATAGAGATAAACTGTAAACAGCAATAATGTTCAGCAAAGTAAGATCTACAAATAAGTTGTTATGACCAAAATTGTCAGTCGACCCCTTTAGGAGTTATTGCCCTTAATAGTTAATTTTTAACAATTTTTCGTAAATTTTTGTAATCTTTTCTACTTTTCTATCTTTTTTGAAACTACTGATACAAATTTAACCATACTTTGCCATAATCATTATTAGGGTATCTAGTTTAAAAAATTTGTCCGATGACCCCGCCTTCCAACCATCATGGCCAACTTAGTTAATAATAGAACATAGGGGTAAAATGCAGTTTTTGGTTTATATCTCTGAAACTAAAGCATTTAGAGCAAATCTGACAGGTGGCAAAAATGTTCATCAGATTTAGATTTATCTGCCCTGAAATTTTCAGACAAATCCGACGACCCGTTGTTGGGTTGCTGCCCCTGAGTTAGTAATTTTACAAAAATTTTGCAGTTTTTTGTTATTATCTTAGATATCATTATAATATCTAATATCTAATACTATTAATTATGATTTTAACCTTATTTTACATGATTTCCAAAGCATCAGTAAATACAGGTGAGCGACACAGGCTCTTGAGAGCCTCTAGTTTTAGAGGGGTATAACTTTGAATCTTAAGGGACAGTAACATAGTCATTAGTTTAAATTACTGGGGAATCACTATTATTAGTTGGATACCAATTTTTGTGGATTTCATGGGTAAAGGGGAACCATGAATTTAAATGTTCAAACTGATTACAAATTTTCTAAAAGAATGTATGCGGACATTGTAAAAAAAAACATGAAATCAAATATCCACAAAAATGCAAGTTTTCCTCAATCCAAGAAAATTGGTACGCATGAAAATAATTGAATCCACAGAATTGAATCCACAGAATTTGAGAATACTTCTTTTAGGTTGATGGTAAAGCCAGATTCACTGTTACAACAACCGAAATTGGAGACCCACAAAATTTACGACAGAAATTGTGTAGAGGTTATTGGTGTTGGAATAAGGGACAACAGTCATTCCCGCTGAAAATCAAAGCTGAAGTAAAAGAGGATGAGACAGATGAAGAACAGGAAACGGAAACCAGTATCAATTTCTATACTGAACCTGTTGCCATGGAATTGGTCAATAAGAAGGAGTACAGGAAGAACATGGATTACACTGTTTATGTAAATATTTATTGACAACAGATTTTTATACAGTAATTTTATTGTTAAAGGTATATGTGACAATATTTGAAAAAAATGACCAAAAAAGTTTCTATTGTCTCTGAAATTAAGTTTTACTCCAGATTGAATATCTTTTGTTTGGAAGAAAATTAGGTAAATAATTCAATTCCAAATTTACTTTATAGAGTATGAAAATTATATAATTATAATACTGTTGGTAAAAGTTGTATTTTGATAAAACTTAAACATGAAATATTTTTTCGAATGATTTACATAGATAATTTAAAAATACAGATTAGTTATGAGACTACACCAGCACAAAATGAAATAAAATATGGATGCTTATAGTCAATATTTTGCATAAATTTTTACCATCTGCTTGATGAGCTGAGAACTATATGTATGCTATGAATCATGTCCAAAGCCAAAGCAGGGACTAATAGTTAATCTTAAATCATTATCAGCTAACTAAGAATCTCAAGAATAAAAGGTACATTTTGAATTCTACAACTAAAATTCATTCAAATAAATTTGATAATGATCAGCCAGAACCATCCAAGGTGAGTTTTTCCGGAGTGAGTTACAACCTTTTTTCTGCTTTGCCTGTGAAAAATGTCTCAAAGGTACACACATGTTACTTTTTTAGCATTTACAGTGCCATCATAGTCAATATCAAATGTTTAGTTTTCTGTTTAGTCCATTTCAGAATAATAACTGTCAATACACTATCTTATAGATTATCATTTGGTTATATATTGCATTCAGGGGCCTCAGTGGCAGAGTGGTCTAAGTAGTCTAACTACTGTATCACTAGCCTGTCAACACTGAGGTTGTCAGTTTCAACTTAGCACTTAGCAGGTGCACTCCACCTTAATTGACTAGGATTATTAATTTTCCTATGGAAGGTTGGTGGTTCTCTCTGGGCACTATGGCTTCCTCCACCAATAAAAACATACCCCTACAAAATAGCACAGTTGTGTTGAAAGTGGCATTAAACACCAATCATTCAATCAATCAATCAATATATTGCACTCACCTTGTCTGTCCTTTATCTGTTCTTCTGTACCACCTGCTGTGTCTGATTATCCAACAAATATTGTTGTACATCTTTTTTCAGGTACTTCTCAACTGAGTTACTTCATATAATATCAGCAGATTGCAGTTATCAGTTGTAAAGTGTGAGGTGTTTACTTATTTTCAGACACCTTTTTCCCCTTTTTGTCAAGCCTGGGACATTTATGTGGCGAAAGCGAGAAATAGCGATCCTAGATTCTGTCTGCGGCGACAACATTTAGGTTCAGTTTGTGGTTATAGTTTTTTGAGACATCAATAACTTTGTCAAACCTTCATGGAATTTTATGAAATTTGGACAGAAGCTTGTTATTGACCAAAAGACAGTATTTGGAGCAAAATTTTGAAAATATTTATTTTTGTTTTTCTGCATTTTACTGATAAATGGACTTAGTTTTTGTTTACATAAAATAAGAAGATACAGTCTGTGGTTAAAGTTTGTTACACATCAATTACTTTGTCAAACCATCATAGAGTTTTATGAAACTTTGGCAGAAGCTTTTTAATGATTAAGAGATAATGTTTGAAGCAAACTTTTGAAAATATATTTTTTTCATTTTTTATGTTTTTCTGATAAATGGACTTTTTTTTACAGTTATTATTTACAGATAGTCTGGGATTAACTTTTTTGACATGATAAATTTGTAAACCTTCATGGATTGTTATGAAACTTGGACAGAAGCTAATCTTCAAGACCATGAAATAGCATCTAAAAGGAAAAGTTTGATTTTTAAAAAAAATTCTGTATTTTACTGATAAATGGACTCACTTTTTAAGTCAACATAACACTTTTACACTGACAGCAGCAATCACAGGCAAGACACAGGGTTCCGTGGAACCCCATACGAATTTTTAGCTCACCTGTGCCTAAAAGGCTAAGTGAGATTTTCTCATCACTTGGTGTCCATCGTCCGTCGTTGTCGTCTGTTAAATTTTACAAAAATCTGCTCCTCTGAAACTGCTGGGCTAAATTTAACCAAACTTGGCCACAATTATCATTGGGGTATCTAGTTTAAAAAATGTGTCTGATGACCTCACTGGTCAACCAAAATGGCCAACATGGCTAAAAATAGAACACAGGGGTAAAATGAAAGTTTTGCCTATTATTTTGAAAACTGCTATGAATCGAGAAAATCTAACAAGGGCAAAAATGTTTAGAATGTTGAGCTCTACCTATCGTTCATTTACCTCAACACTGTCTTACGACTTCTTGTAGGAGTTATTGCCCTTAGATGATGAATTTTACCATTTTTTAAATTTTTTGCTATTATCTCGAAAATTATAATAGATAGATAGAAACTTTGAAAAGCAAAAATGATCAGCAAGACAAGATCTACAAATAGGTCAACATGGCCGAAATCTTATGTAAACTCCTTATTAGAGTGATTGTCCTATAATGATGATTTTACAAATTTTTTGCGTTTTTGCCTAATATCTTAAAAACTATATTAGATAACTTTGAATAGCAAAAATGAGCAGCAAGACTACCGGTAGATCTACAAATAAGTCAACATGACCGAAATTGTTAGTCGACTCCTTATTGAAGTTATTGGCCTTTAATGACGATTTTTCCCATTTTTGCCTATTATCTTAAAAACTGTTATAGATAGATAGAAACTTTAAATAGCACAAATGATCAGCAAGACAAGATCCACAAATAAGCCATTATTGGAGTTATTGCCCTTTAATGATAATTTTTAACATTTTTTTGCATTTTTTGCCTTTTATATTGAAAACTATAATAGATAAATAGAAACTTTAAAAGGAAAAATTATCAGCTGGATAAGATCTACAAATATGCCAACATGACTGAAATTGTCAGTTAACTCTAATAGAGTTATTCCCCTTTAATGATGATTTTTACCAAATAATGGCAATTGTTGAAGATGCAGGTGAGCGACACAGGCTCTTTAGAGCCTCTAGTTTAGATATTTAGAATTATGATTTGGGATTATGCTAAGCACGACAATCTGTACAACTTGTTATATTTTTTCAAAAGATTATATTTAGGCATTAACTAATAACATCACATACATTTGCCACTAACAGAAATGATTAATTAAGAATAACCTTTTGATTCTGTAAAATCTTCCCTTATTATCCCTTATAGCACAATATAAATCTTCTTTGAAATATTTGTCAGTCATTACCCTTAAATGTCACAAAATATGCCACTAACAGAAACTGGGATAATGAATTAGTTCCTTCTCTGTTACTGCTTACTACATAGACAATCAGACTTATTAATAAGTTAAATCTATAAAGGTGACTTAAGTCCAATCAAAAATGAAATCTATTCTTATAGACAGATTGCTTCTTTTCAAACATCCAAAATTTGACATCTCCCTGAAAAAAATTATAAGAGATTTTGCAGTAGAACCTTTTTTTCAAACCTTTTCTTTGTTAATTTATCTCCCTTGTTGTAATTCAATAATGCGAAAATTCTTACAAAAAATATTCTAGTCATTCAAAATGATTTATGAATAGAATAGTTAACATGAAATATCAGGTAACTCAAGTTCTCTGTATATTACTTAAACAAATATTTTTTTAACAGTTCTATTAATCTTGTTAACTTTTACAGAACAAACAACTTCTTAAGGTCAAATACTGGTGAAAGGGGGATGAGTATAATTAATGATACTTAAATAGGGATGATATAACCTTTTACTTAAAAGATTGATCTTCTTTGCAAATTTCCTTGTCTGACTCTTACTGATATCTGAAAAGTTGACATCTTAGTAATGTGAACTGAATTTCAAGCTGCTGATACTCATCTACAATGTCAAACAATTAAGGTATCCAGAAATTTCAAAGAGGTTTTGAATGTTGAAATGGATTATTAAGCATATAGATTTAAGCATTTAGTTTCCCCCCTCCACTAAGTGGCCAGGGCATAAAGTGGTACCCATCTGTGTCCTTCCATTCTTCTGCAATTAAAAAATTGTCTGAACTGTTCTTTTTTTGCCTGCAGAAATTGAAAATTTTTTCGTAGATGATTAAATAATGATCACTTACAGATATTGTTACAAACCTTGGATTTAGAACATTTATTTGAAGATTGAACTTGCCTAGACTTTTGTTCCAATTCTGGTCAAAGGCATTGCCCTTCCAAACAGAAAATAGCCAGATTAGCTACTAAATCTTTACACTTTGAAATATAGTTCCCAATAATTCCCATGTGTGTGTAAATATGCACATATGAACAGTGAAAAAATTGGGTAATATCTTTAGAGGAGTTCATTCAAGTATGAAACTATCTCTTCTAAGTTTTGTCAATCTCTGACTTGTTTGGTCATTCTCATTAGGTAAGAGTAATGATACAATACCAGTATGACTTTCATTATGTACTGTGGATTCATAATTATTCGTTGGATACCAATTTGCGTGGATTTGGTCGGTACATGTGAACCATGAATTTAAATGTTCAACGAATTGCTTATGTTTTATAGGGTTGTATGCAGACTTTGGCAAAACCATAAAATCAAATATCCACGAAAATGCAGGTTTTTCTCAATCCACGAAAATTGGTACCCACGAAAATAAATGAATCCACAGTGATAGAAATGATACAATACCAGTATGATTGACAAGGTATCGGGTCCGTTCGCCCTGATTACATGTTCACCCTATGGTCTGTTTGCCCTGGGTTCGTTCGCCCATAGAGTCCGTTGGTCCTACTATTTTTTTTAGCTCACCTGGCCCAAAGGGCCAAGTGAGCTTTTCTCATCACTTGGCATCCGTCGTCCGACGTCCTGCGTCCGTCGTCCGTAAACTTTTACAAAAATCTTCTCCTCTGAAACTACTAAGACAAATTTGACCAAACTTGTCCACAATCATCATTGGGGTATCTAGTTTAAAAAATGTGTCCGGTGACCCGGCCAACCAACCAAGATGGCCACCATGGCTAAAAATAGAACATAGGGGTA